TCGGTTAAAAAAAGCTATAAATTGTATAATAATATAATTAGCCTGAAATCACGGAAAATTTTGGTTGATTTTATTTTTTCAATTTTTTTATCCCATTTTATATCCTTCAGTTTTATTAAATAATTAATTTGCAATAACAATTAATTTTTTTGTTTAAAAATATAAAAATTTTGAATGATGGTATAACGTTTATTTTTCAGAAATTTGATAGGTTTAAAAAATTTATAATCAGCATTGACAATGACAATTACAAAAAATAAGAATATGCTTATCTTATCACAAATGAGAAATATTGGTTTAGTCCCAATTATGTATTGCAAAAAATTATCTCATCAGCAGAGTTCATGATCTTTGAGAAATGAGAAAGAAACTGCGCAGACATTTTAATAGATCAGCCAATATGAAATGATTTATAGTTCAAAAGAAATTAAAAATAGATTCAGAAACTGAGCGAGAAAACCACTGCTCGGAAAATGAATTTAAATATCAAACTTTAATTGGTAAATCTTAATGGTAATTTAAAAAAAAAAAAACACAGATTTTAGCTTATATAGGCTCTCTGTTTTCTAAAATTTTTTAATTTTTGCATTGAAAACATTTAATAATAATCAAGACTCAACTTGACAAGGATTTGGATTATTATAAGTTAATTTCTAATTTTTTCCAACTTGTTCTAAAAATATTTATCAAAATGAAGAAAAGTGTTCCACTTAACGAAATCCGACTGCTGGACGTTAATAGTTCTCAAGGCAGACGTCACTGCTCGAGTTGCGTGAACAGTCGCCATAAATATTTCGGTCCGTCGAGAGAGCTTTTTAGGTTTTCCGTGGATCGGCTCTTGGACTTCTTGATACACATTATTTTTAGTTGGAAATGCATGCACGTGAGCAGCTTTTCGTGAATTTCACGTAGGCACGTCACGGCTTCGTTGAGATAGAGCCGGGATTAATTTAGCCGCTCTTAACATGCAAATGCCATAAGCCACGCAAACCGACCATAATTTTATTGTTATGACAGCATCTGGTGCTTTTAATACGAACAATGCGCCCTGTGTGTGTCGCGGATAGAATATTGTTTTGCGAAATATGCGCGAACACAAAAGCTTTCCATTGCGATTATCATATTTCGCCAGAATCGCTGCTGCTCCTGGGAATTGCTGCGATTTAATAATTTGGTATGTCAAGGCGTAGATTTCATTTCACTCTCATTGAAAATAATTTTAAAAAAATCCAACATCTTTCTAATTATAATTGATTTAAATATTTTATAAACTCTATCCTAATTATGGGCATGTTTAAATGTTGGTGATTGCACCTTTTTTTATTCTGTATTTTATAAATAAATAAATAAAAACAATAATTTATTATTTTTTTTATTATTTATTAGAAAAAATTTTAATTGGTTTTTAAAACAATTTGATTTTGCATTGCAGTTTTCTACTAAATTATATTTGCAAAAACTTAAAGCCGAAAAAAAAAATTCTATTTTTTTAATTTTTATCTTCAACTTAAATTTTCAATGTCATGAATAAAATCCATTTATCATGAAGATGTCTGCAAATTTAATGATTTAATCCAAACAGCTCTTGCTTGAAAGCTCTCATGCCTATACAACCAAGCTTTTCTGCTCAAGTCTCGCTCTCTCCAGCTCAAGAGATCAATCTGCACCTGTAAGGAGAAATTTTCCACCCTAGGATTTCGAGGAAAAGCAATTTCGCCAGCGAGCCGATTTTCTCGGAACTAATTCGCGCGTCAATAAACTGCAAATTTAGCTGCCTGGCGTATAGGTAAATAATATACATCAACAATTCAAAAGCGAATATTCTGCCTCGGCCCTAAAGCCATCGCTGCTCTAAGGTTATTCACGAATCGATTTTGAATTTCTTGAAAACGGATGCATAGATCAATAAAACGTCTGCAAATACCAAAGTACACCGCAAAAGGTTTCATAGAACCAAAGCCGAAGGGGAGATGCTTTGATGTAACCACTACAAAGCATAGAACATCAAATAGAGAATGAAAGCCAAAAGGCTTGCTATAGGAACTATGTATACGGTGTTTGTGATGAAATCTTTGCTCACTGAAAATAATAATTCTGCAGTGCAGCTTTTCCTCTAAGACTGATGAGATAAAAAGATAAAAAAATTACTTTTAAAAAGAGTTGCAATTTGGAAGCGGAAAAATTCTAGAAAGTCTTGCGCATAGTTGTGATAATTTGAGATTTCGCACAATTGTCCCTGATTTGGCAATGAGAGATAAAAAAAATTGTTCCAAATAAACAGAGACATATAAATGTTGTATGTAAACAGATATATAGATTTATATAAAAAAAATGCTTACAAGAGCAGAAGATAAGATTAATGGGGACAGAAAAAATCAACAGTCATCACCCAATTTCCTGGTATGCATTGCTGAGGCGATAAAATAATCTGCCAATTATTATAAATACCGTTTAAAACGTTTTTCAGATGAATTCTCCCTTATCAGTCAAAGCCTATCTTAAGGTTTTTCCTTGTGATTAACCAATATATTGCAAAAATTTAGCTTTTGTTTTCATCTACATCAAAATTTAAATGGAATTTTTGGATCAAACTCTTTCCTCTGAATTGAAAATTTCGAAAATTTTAGAATATGAAACTAATTTTTTTTTTTTTTTTATTATTATTTATTCTCCATTCAGATACAATGAAATATACAATACACAACATCTTACATCAAGTCAAATAAAATTTCCTCTCCTTTTTTCATACTTTTTCCTTGTTGAGATTCTTTTAATTTAATTTGTAAGTTTGAAAATTACTTCTATTGTCTCACTGAAATTTGAAACTTTTTTATAATCTATTCTTGTGATTTCCTTATTAATATTTTATTTTCATTAAAAATTGTTAAAATTTTGGAGGAAAGAGAGCATTAAGGTTATTTTTTTGTCGTGCGTTTGTGCGCGACAAACTCTCCTCCGGTTCCTGGAAAGCCAACCGAGTTTGTGATATTACGGTCGAGATTATACAGGGAAAATAGCGAAAGCTGCTCTGTTCTGTGTGCGTTTTTCTGCGTGTTCACGTCGTGCATGTAACGACATTATGCGCGCTGATAACAATTATGCTGCTTTATCCGACCGACTTAATTGATGCCATTTTCACCAGCATCTGCTGCGTGCAGCGCACAAACCTCTGTCGATTTTTTTTAATGGCTGCACGTGGAGAGCATAAAAATTAAAAAATCATTTCCCTTAAAAAAGCAGGAAAGTTTTTCGCTCACAGATTGAGACTTTTTGGGGGAAATAATTATTTTCGTCCTTAAAAAAAATCGTATCGCTTTTGGCCAAAATTACTGTCGGCGTTTATAGAATTGCTCAATTTGCACTTTTGGCACAAATGAAGAAATGAAATTTTATATTTTATTCGTCTCCATAATATTTCTCTGAAGCGACCAATTGCCTCCTTTTAAGGCTTTTAGTCATTATACATCCATCCTTGAAAAATTTGAAATCATCAAAATTATCCATTTTTCCACGGTTATACAAAAGAGAACCTCCCGCCGGCTTATTTATACATTAATATCAAAGAGCAATATAAAAAAAGTAATTGCTCTCGGCGGTTGAATTATAAAATCGAGCCAATCTCGGCGCCAATAACAAACCATAAAAGCCGCGGGAATGAATGGGGAGGCGAAACGAAAGGACTACTTCTCCTTCGGGATGGAATATTGTTTCTCGCGACGGCGTGTCGGCCCATTTTGAGAGAGCAGACGGGCGATTTGATGCGGTGCCTGCATAAGCCGTCTGGCGAGACAAAAAACTCACAGGGCGGCCGGTGCGATTGCCACAAAAAAAAAGCAGAACACAACGCTCGCTGCTCTCCTGAGGAAAAGAGTTGAAAGAGATGAAATTGTTAGCGGGTGCGCCTGCGCTGCTGAGAGCAAGGTCGCCTCTTGACAACCTCCCAGTCAGTCTTGTAACAGTGTCGAGCGTGAGCACCGAGACTCGCCTCGCGGTTCTCCGGACAACTTTTCCGCCGGCTCCTGTTTTCCGAAAAGCGGCGCCGACCATGTGTTCCAGATCGTGAAGATTTTGGCCAGCGACGCCGCACGTTGTTCAGGTGCGCAATATTAAATTGTTGAATTAAATTCGTGCGGGGCCAGCAGCTCTCCTGTGTGGCCGCATTCATACGCCAGCGAGGTGAATAAACTTTCTCTTTGTGCCGATTGATGAAAACGTGGATACTCTCTTGAAAGGGATTTTTATGTTTCTTCTTCTTCTGAAGCCTTTCTCTCGGTTTTGTGTTTTCTGAGAGTGCAGGCGTGAAATCGAACCGTTCCTTTTCGCTCCATTATATTTACGTCCTGTTCAAATGCGGCAACACACATACGGCCCGGAAATCTGCACTCGCGTGGAATCGCCAAAAGCCAAGTAGCCTCTGCCGAGCAATGATCTCTCGCTTGTACAAAATGGAAGTTTTTAGTCGGCACCTCTCGGGAATATCAACACAATTACCGTTCGGAGAATACAAGCACTTAAGAACGCCGCGCACGTTGCAAAATTTCTTCAAATTGCCTCTCGCGCAAATTGCAAATTAGCACTCGAAGCTGGAACAAGTTTGCCTTTGTGCAAATATATATAATGGAAAACTCAACCGTGAGCTGAGAATCCAATTTGTTAGCAAATAATTGCAAAAGTTTCAAAATGTTGTTGCAAACTCATATTGTCTTTATGTTCACAAAGTTCAAATTGATCTTAAAAGTTATAAAGGAATTATTGAATTTTTATTTCTGAGTATCTGTTGGAGCAAATTGATTTTTTCAATTTCTTTTTATCACAATTTCAATATATTTTATTTAATTCAACATAATATTACATTTCAAGTAATTTAAAAATTAATTTTTTTATTGACAATAACATTCGTGTTCCTGCCTCTGATTTGTGCTGATAATTTGAGCTTCAAAGTGCTAATTTGCATCATTAATCAAAAAGGGTTTATTTTAATTATGCTCGTCAATTGCCCAATGGAGCGGTTGATGCTGCGCCGCGCTCCTTTGCCAAGGTAAATCTCCTTGCAACCGACGTGATCGTTTTGCTTGTTAATTTATCGTCAGCTGCTGGCAGGACGCAAAGTGAGCTGAATAATTAACGTGGCAAACAAGCCCCGTAGCAATGGCCCTCGTCTCTGCGCTCTTATTGCGATCGTAAGCGCCGGCCGCGTTGTTGATTTACCCACCTGCAGTTCCCATGGCGCGCCGCGGCATCTCTGACCGGTGAATAATCGCATTGGCGCGGTCCCTCTCAATTGAGCCTGGCATGGGCCCAAGGATAATTACTCGGAACCCCTAAGTATTTCAAACACATATGCACGCCAGAGTGGATTCCCAGAACGAAACCGACGCGTCAAAGTTGCAAACACACATGGACGCCCGCCCGCCCCTCGCGGGTCCAATGTTTTGACGCATCCTTTATTGCTTTTGTCGCACCTCAAAAATGTGTCAGAAGATAATTTAGATAAATGCTCAAAAGTTCACAAAATTTAATTGTAATTATTAATAACTTAAATATTACTCAAATTTTATATTTATCTACTATAATAATTATTATTTTAGAATTAATTGTTTATCATTTTTATTATTTTTTTAAATATGTATAAATTTGTAAAATCAAAAATCGTTCTAAATAATTTAAATGGTGCAAGTTTACTTATCTTTCATAACAACTAGAATCCATTATCTATTTTATATAAATTTCTTCATCGTAAAATTTGTTTTAGTTGATTATTTAAATTGAAAACTCAAAATGTGATACCAGGCTTTCGAATTCTATTATTTAATTTTAAAAAAATTGATTCAATAATAAATAATATCAATGCTATGGGTAACAAAATCAAACTAAATAATTTAGTATCAAAATATATTATACTGTCATACTTTGTACCAAATCTCGCGAAATTTTCATTTTTTATTGATACATAGACAAATATCAGCGGCGTCACGTGGCAGTGAAACCTACCGTGATATTGTGTAATAAACACAACGCGATCAAGAGCGCCCTGCGCGCGTGCGTATTTATAGATTTTTTGGCACCGTCGAAAAGCATTTCTCGGAAATCTTGTCACCGAAAATGAATTTGATCGGCGCGGCGCATTCTTGGCGATTTGCTCGCGCCACGCTATATATTTGAATTCCGCAAACTGCTCAACCTTCATATAATATTTTAATTTCATTTTTCCACAAAAGGGCTGCGGCACTGCCGCGAGGCAAAACACACCTTTTCCCTGAGTCATCTCGGCTTTTTTTCAATTGGAGCCGCGAGAGTCCTCTCTCCTTATAAACTCCCGATTCGAGGACGGTGACTCATCAGTATGCGTTCTCATTACTTCTTTTTCAATAATGAAGAAGTGAATTGAAAGTGAGATACAACAACTGCACCTCTCAAGTCAAACGAGGAAAATTTGAAATAGCTTTTGACGCATTTTGAAATGTGTGACATTAATTTGCGCGTCACACTTTGCAGGAAGGAGGAAGTTGTTGCAAATTACGTGGGAAGATTTCATAGAACTGTTTATGTAAGAATTCCTCATTTGCATATTAATTTTAAATAATTAATTGGTTTTAATTCAAAGGCTGCTTTAATTTGAGGGAGAATATTTTCCTATCCTTTTGTAAAATGATTCTTATCTTTAACGCAGAGCATCTCTTCTCTCAAAGATATATAAATTCAGAAAATAGAGACTTTTTTACCTCATTCTCTTCCCTGCGGATATTATTACAGCGCGCATTTGAGATTCCGAGAATCGGTTCTGCTCTCTTTCAATACCAGAAAAACACACTGCGCGCGGCGTTTTCCTGTGTATTTCAGAGCTCAAAATCAATTTTCACACCTTCCTTCCTTTATGCATATTACATACACAGGATCGCATTTCCCAGCACCAGCGAATTCCGAACCGTTTGTCGACGAACGCAATTTCCTGGCGAAAATAAAATAAAATGAAAAAAATCCGAGTCAGCTCCGCGAGCCCGAGGTGCTCTCGTCGCCATGCAGAGTATCGAGCAGCTGGTGCCCCACTTTTTCCGAGAAGCAATACCAATAATCAAGTGCGCTCCGACGCCAAAGGCACACCATTCACGGCATTTCTCCATTGTTCTGATCCGCGGCCGCTCGGCCCGGAGGTGTTCTCCATATTCGCGAAAGCTGCACTCCTTCTTCTTTTCCTCTCTCGGCCGACGATGCACTCGGGCCTTTTCAATTCAATCTCCCTTCGCTCGCTCTCTGCGTTTGCTAAGCTAATTGAATCAGCCAGAGTGAATTGCCGCTTCTCGGAACTCGGCTCGCTAATTTCTGCCCTCTCGCAATCTGCAGAGAGCGCGCGCATGCAGCGATCGACCTTTGGTTCCTTTTGATTGCGTAATTGGACCAGACAGAAGAAAGAAAAGGGGCTGGGATGCTGGTGAGATGAGATTGCATTCCTATTTCATTTATTTGCAATCTTATTCCGTCAACATCATAAATTGATTATGTTCTGTTAAAATGTGCCAAAATTTCTATCAAGGAATGGAGAAATTATAAAGATTTTATCAATTTTGTTCATTTTAAATTTATTTTTCAAATGACAGAAAATCCCCCAAATAAATTAAATTAGAGTTTTGTAGATAATATGATAATTTCATTTTTGAATATAAAATTTGGCATGGATTTTCTTTATTCGCAGAAACTGAGCCAGTAAACCAAAATGCTCTTGGAAAACAAAATAAAATGCCCAATTTTCAACTTTTATATTATTGAGGAGCTTAAAATTTTTTTCAAAACAGATCTGTTTCCATAATTCTGCATTGATTAATTTGTATAATGTAATTTTATGAATTCTTATTGCGGCGTTAAGAAATATTGCAAAAAAAAAAATGTTTTAGATTAACTTTTTATTTTATATATATTGTTTTTTCTTAAAGTTTTTACACTAATAAATCTTATATTAATTTAAAATTTAAACTTATTTATTATATTTTTTATTAGTTGCAATTTTAAAACACCAAGTTTTGATTAATTTAAATTAAAATTTTTTAAATATTATTTTTAATGAAATTGTTATTGCACTGGATAAATATAAATGCTGCGGCTAATAATTGAATTGAATTAGATGTCTTTTCATTACTTAGAATCCACGACTTAAGGTTTCATCCTTTAATACCTAATTATTGAATAATTATTCCATATAATAAATGTTACAACTTAAAAATCAAGACAAACGCCGGCATAGCACAAAGTTTTTTCTGCAAAAGTAAACATGTTTCTGACTGTTTATTTTTTCAATATCCTCTAAAACCGATTAAACTTTATATATGGATTGAAAATGGAATAAATTAAAAACTTCCTTCATCTCTTCATCAAGCTTACATTAATTGCACTAACGAGTACAGTCGTTCAGTGGAAATTGCACAAGTCTCCGCGCCAGTTGCACAAATAGAATTTCCAACTCGGCGCATCCCCGAAGCCGATTTTCCACTCCCGTGCGCTTTAATCTTGTGCACGACTTCCAAGAATCCGGAAACGAATTTGCATAATGCGGCTGAGGTGAATTAACTCGCGGCAATCTTATATCGAATGCGGTTCCGAGAACTTCATACGTGCGGACAAAAGGGAAAAAATTGTGTATTCCGCGAGTGCAGTCGTGGCAGGAAACCACTTTGCTGCACCGCGCGCGCACACCGCGGTGCCAAAAAATACACACACAAGAAAATAATGCGCCAGTGTCATTGAGTTCCGAGAATTAAGAGGCGAAGGTCCGCCGCCGCAAAACAGCGCAGCCTCTCTGGCGAGAGAGATGAAGTCTAGGCCAAATTTGAATGAGACGCGAGCGGCGAGTGATTTGATTTTATTTGTGGACTTGAGAGATGCTCTTGGTGCGTCGTTTGATGTGTATGTTTGTTAAAAGCAGCGGCTTCCGAGAAATCCCCGCCGACGTCATATACACTCGCGCCTTCGGATCTTGTACAAAAGAAAGAGCGGCCGCGGGTTTAGTGCGCGGCGAGCAGCTCAAGCGTTCTATTAGCCGCTCCTGAAATATTAAACACAAAATAGGTGATATGGCAGAAGCAGGAGGAAGAAGGGTTTTCCTGCTTTTACTGTAAATTGTGAGTATCGACGCACTGTTGTCGGATTTCTTTCTCGCGGAGAATTAAATACCCCGCGAGGCAAACGGAACTAGCATTGCATACCAAAAAACGCCGCGTGAATGTTTTATGCTCGCGCGTACACTCAGCATTCGTGCCGGATTGAGCTTAGCCTTGGTGGAAAAAAAAATGTGGAGAACCTAGAGTTTCGTGTCTGCTGATGGACTGCGGTATGAAAATTGACCTCTCCAATAACGCAGAGAGGGAATTTTTACCCTATATTAATAACAGGAAATTCTAGTTGAAAGAGTTTCCTCTTGATTTGAAGTAAAAAATTAGATAATTTAATTTTTATGTGGTTTTACTTTGAAACTTGGCTTTATAATGGAATACATATGTACCAAAATTTTGTCTTTTAATTAAGAAATTAATTTTAAATTTGTTTGAAGAAGTTGACACTCAAGGAGATGATTCAAAAAACAATTTTCTGCAACGAGGAAAAGCCCGATCGCTTCATTTCCATTAATTTTAAATGTCACACAAATTGTATCTAGTGTGTTTCAAGTTTCTCGCACATTATTTCATTGAAAAAAATAAGTAAAAACCTCTAAAAATTAAACCATCAAACTGCTTTACGCTTTAAACAAAGACACTACTCTATATAATAATTAGAACACGCAAACTACAATAATTTGAAGAAAGATAATTCAATGTCTTCCACAATAATTTTTTTGTTTAAATTTATTTTGCGCAATGAATTGTAATATTTTGACGCTGGAAAGATTATTTAAATTTCACCGATTGAAAAATAATCTTCTTAAATTCATTTGATAATCAAAAAGTATTCCTAAATTTTAGATTTCATTAATGAAAATTAAAGAACTCAATTATTTTAAAATGAGTGTTTTGCCAATGAAAGGGAGAAATGGAATTTTTTCTCAAATTATAATAAATTTTGAAATAAAAATTGGAATTTTCTATCCATTTGCACTTTTGCAGTGGTAATTATTTTTTATATAATTTTGAAAACACTGGGTAACTTCGTTTGATAACATATTAAAAGTCTAAATAACAGATTTTTTTTAAATATATTTATGTATCGATTGAAAATTAACAAGAGATCAAGAGCGAGTTCTGATTATGGAAAAATAGACCGATTGAATCGATTTTTTTTATTGTAAAAATTTATAAAAGATAAAAGACACAATAAAACAATAATATATAATTATAGAGACGCTATAAAATTTTTTTATTAATATTATTATTATTTATTCTTCTCGGTCTTATCAATAGTCAAATAATCAATTTAACTGGAATTAATTTAATTAATAGATTTAAAGTCTTTACATTAATACAAAGATCATATTATTGTAAATTTGGAAAATATTTGTGTTAAAAAAGACAAACCAATTGATTTTGTTCAAAGAAAAGATCTCTCGTGATTCAATTGGCAAAGACCGTCTTTATGACTTTGAATGAAGCTCCTTACACGAATGTATCGCGTCTTGGGAGAGGGTTTTGTACAATCAGTTCTCCATCAATGCACATCAATGTACACATAGGAGCTTTATGTACCGCCCCTGGTTGCAGAATATAGCAGGGCTGAAATTAAAGACGGAGATGAAAGAGCGATTCTCTCCGGTTCTCGGGCGTGAGCCATTTCCCAGAAAAACCGGGGCTGCAAGCCGGGCCTGTGTGCTTTTCCGAGAGAGAGCGGCTGCCGCCGCCGCCGACTCTCTGCACGCCGCCCTCGACTTTTTAACAACGCCGCCCCAGCATCCCTCGCATCATTGAATATCGCGTATATTTGCCGAAGCTGTGGCTCGACAAATTGGAGCGTCGTCGGGCTGAATTTGCTATTTTATCCCGACCGTAATGATCCTCTTTCCTGGAAAATCCTCGCGCCAGCTCGATTCGCTGACTCTGCGTCCTGCCAGCTATATACGGAGAGGAATAGCAGAGCGGACGCTTCGTTATGCCACATGGAAAATCAAAACCCAATATTATACACATGATTGAAGAGTATAAAACATATATGCAGTGAAGTGGAGAGTAAAAAAATATGTTCATAAAGCGGAAATGTTGATTTGCCGTTTGGTTCAATGGAACTGATATTTTTTTTCAATTAATTTTCTCTGTTTTACATTGACATAATCGAAGCGTCATACATTTCCACCCCTATTTTTTTATTTTAATTTTTTTTAGGGTTAGGGCAAGACAGAGTCTTGTTGGCCTGTGCCCTCTTTTAGTAGCGCAGAAAGGCGCTCTCAAGTATTTTATTTTTTTGATTTACCTTTTTATTTTATTATTTCCTTATTTATTAAAATCAAGCATCAATGGGGGGAATTTAGATGAATTGATTTTTTTACAATTTATTTTGTAGCTCTAGAAACAAGAAACTGCCTAAACGTTGATGGAGAATAATCAAAGAAAACAAAAACAAAAAGTTTGAATGAAAACCCTCTTTAAATAAAAAATTGATCATTTTACTTTTAGTTATTTCAATCAAATGGGGGGGGGGGGGGGAGTTGAGGCCTAATTAATTTGAAACCCTCTGCAGTAAATTATCTTAGAATTGCGCAGTTTAAATTAGTATTTTTAATTTAACTTAAATGATTCACCTACCTCAATTTTAATCAGTTTTGATTGGTACTTTGTATTATTCTCTGATGAGGTACAAACGATAAGATTTAATTGAGCTGCTATAGTGAACTCGCGGTCATCAGTTTGTAATTAATGTGTATAGATACGAAAATTGATAATTAAGGAGTAAAGAGTTGCTTCTTTGAAATTTGAAAACGCCCTTTTTATTATTATTGCTAAATGCTTTTTTTTAATAATACCTTTCAAATTCACTAATTGGGCGTAAATAAGTAACGGATATAAAATTATTTATTATTAAAATAAATTTTACTGCTTAATTTTTTTACATATTAAAATGTTAATAATGTTACCAAAAAAATTCTTTTTATTGTGCTATAAAAATTTATAACCAAGTATAAAATAATGTTGTATGGTAATTTAATTTTTCATTCAAACTATAAATTACATGCACCAAAAACATAATATATGATGAAGTTAACGGATGTTATAAAGTACATCCTTAAATTTTGACTGCGCATATACAAGAGCCGCGGTGACGTGAACTCTCGGCTTCTTTGTATAGCAATTTCAATATATCCAGCGCATTTTATTAACACTTCTCCTTGCACACACGTCCGCTGTTCCGCGAGCAACTTTGCAAACCCGAATTCCGGGTACTCGCGCCGGGGCCCGTTTTGTGTACAATATGTATACGTTTTACTGCTTCGCGGATGAATACATAACGCATCTGAACAGCTCTTTTCACAAGTTTGCTCGGCGAAAATTTCTTGGAAGTTGGCGCCATAAAAAACGCACACCCTCCCTCGGCCGTCGGATATCAAGATAGAGAGAGTAATTTATACGCCGTGTTGCTGCGGTGTTGCGTTGGAAATTGCTTCAATTTCGCGAGACCGAGAGATGCCCACGCACCACTTTTGCTGAATTATATATAAATCGTGTCGGCGCTGAGAACGAGACCGAAAAACAGCGCGATCGGTGTTTGTTGCGAAATTATATTGGTCGCGGGCGCACCCAAAACGGTGCTCGTAAATTATTTCCTAAAAGGAGTTAAAACGATTTGCGGGGTGGCCAATTGGCAAGACCGAGGAATGCACATCATTTTGCTGGCCTGAGATCACGCCGAACTGACTCACAACACTTCTTCGTGTCCGAAATGACGTCAACCCAACAGCAAAGCTCTTTTCCACTCCATCGAGGTGCTGCTGTCTCGAAAATAATGAATTAACCACGCCAACTCTCATGACTCGCTTCATTTTGAGCGGCTCGTGATCTAATTAAGAAGTTGTAGATTTTTCTCAACACAATAATTCATTAGATGGAATTTGGAACAAATCTTATTTTAAATGGATTATTATTGGCTTTTTTATTTAAGAATTGATGAAAATTAGGCTAGATATTTATTAAATTTATAATTTAGAATAATGAATTTTTGTTTAAATTATATTTGTCAAATAAATCTATTTTCAGGTAACCACAAAAAGGGTATTTTATCATTTTTATTTATTAATTTATTTAAATTCAGACCTTAGTTTTTGGGACTAATTTTGACTGAAATGTAGTTTTACATAAATCATTTATGAATGAGCATTATTTCATGAAGAAAAAAAGAGAAACAAGAACAAAATTTAAACAATTTAATAGTATAATCAGAATTACACGATTTTCTTTACATTATATTTTCAGAAGAATTCTATTTTGTTTGAAGAAGTTGACACTCGAGGAGATGATCATGGAAATGAAGAAATCGGGCTTTGCCTCGTTGCAAAAAATTGTTTTTATTCAAAAACAAAACGGCTCTACCAGTTTTGGTCACGGTCTGCGACCCTATTTCATGAGCAAGAAAAAATACAAAAAATCAGCAAATTGAAAAAAACACATTTTAAAATAAAAAATTAAAATCTTAAAAACTAACAAATTCAGGTATTTTCATGAGCAAAGGCAAAGAATTCTTGTCCTTATTTTCCACATCCATCATTCACCCTTTTTATGTTTATTTACTCATATTCGTATTAATTTCGTTTGGAAAAGTTTAAATTTTATGTACTTTTGCAACTTTGTATTACACCTTTCATGTATGAGTTCACTTTATTCTGGCCTGAATGGTCGGCGAAAAATCGCACAAAAGCACTCTTGCCGCGCAATGCAAAAAATAAATGCACACCACTTAGACTCGGCGCACAACTTCATGAAATATCGTTTCGCGGAATTAGGCACTTTGTCGCGCAAATTAACCTGATATACGTTTTTTTCGTCCGTCCCGCTCTTGAATGCAGCGACGAGTTTCATTCTGCTTACTCATTACAGCACAAACTGAAAACAATCTGAAAAGGCGCGCGCGCGGCCGCTTCTCGGAAGCATTTGCAACAATGATGAAGGAGAAATCGCTAATTAGTATGCACAATAGATGAGAGAGAGGTTTCTGCAGCAGTCTTGCGTATTCTGGGAATTGCAATTAACGCTCGGCTTGGATTCTGTGTAATCTGGCAGAATTTGCAGCGCTACTAGGAACTCTATTTTGGGACGCATCAAGCAATTATGAGAGAGATACATAATTCGCGTCTTAATTTTGGCTCCACTTTTCGAATAAAGCTTCACTTCACTAAAGTTTGTGAAAATGGATTAATCTTCTTGAAAAAATCTCATTCGAAAGTTACAAAGTTTGATGAAACTTGTGTTTTGTTTTTCATAACAAGAAGAAATTTATTAAATCAAATAAAATATTTTGCAAACTTTCAGCATTAAACGTTCTTACGAACGGTTAAAAAACTGAAAATATATATTATTAAAATTGCTTATTTCTTAACCTAAATAACTACAAATTCAAATGAGAAAATAATTTCCAACATTCAAAATTGAAGTTTCACTTTAAGAAAATGCTTCTCTTAAACCAGTTTAATAAAAAATTATAATTAAAATAAAATGTTAATTGTTTTGGCGATTTTTGTTTCAGACGTTCGACAGGCCAACTGGCGTCCCTTGTGCTAGGCCCGTGGCCCCACGCGGGGGGCGGCTGCACTGCCCACCCCTCACCCGGAGGCCTGTGGTTCGCTGGGAGCGGGAATGCCACCCCCGTCGCCACCGCCATGCTGACCTGCCCGCACTGTCTGCACTCGTTCGAGGGCGCCGCCGCCGCCAGCAGCACCGCCAGCACCGCCTCGACGAGTGCGTCGTGCTGCTGTGCCGCCCCCGCCGCCTCCTGCTTGCGGGTGTTTGCAGGCAGTGGCGGCGGCATCATCGTCTCCGAGGGCAAACCGACCTGCACCACCCCGCACCTGCAGGTCTCCTTCCAGCAAACGCCGGGTCTGCAGGTGTCCTTCACGCCGTCGCTGCAGATCGTGCTGCCCCCGTGGCCCACCCAGGCCGCCTCCAGCCGCAACTCGGCAAACCTAACCTCCACACACAAGGCCCTTACAGCGTCCGGATGGTAATTTTCAGTTATTTTAACACCAATTTTTCATTATTTTGTAGATTTTTTTACCTTTAATTAATGAAATTTAATTAAATATAAATTTTTAATATTTTATTTTAACTATAAAATGATCATGAAATAAAAAAACCAAATTTAAAAATTTACTTACTAAAATCATATTTATATTTTGAATTAAATTTTGATACATTTACTTGATCGAACAATTATAACGATTTTGTTTTTAATTGAGAATAAATAAAAAGAAATAAGTTCTAAATAAAATCAATCAAATAAGAAAAATTAAAAAAAAAATAATAAATGAATAAGCATGAAAAAAAAATTATTCAACTTGATTTTGTTATTATAAAAGTAAAGAAATTAATCATTGGTTCTTCTCGAAATAAAATATACTTTGCATTTTTTTTTTAATTGAATTTTGTTCAAATTATATTAAAAAAAAATCAAATTTCAGGTACTACGAGGCGTTGAGCGGCGAGGAATCACTGATCGCCCTGAAAAACTGCCCGCCCGGCACATTCCTGTTGCGCGACTCGTCCGACCCTGAGCACCTGTTCTCGCTGAGTGTGCAGACGACGCGCGGCCCGACCAGCGTGCGTCTCCACTACCTCAACGGAGAGTTCCGACTGGACGCGCAGCACCACTTGGCGCACCACGTGCCGCGTTTCGCGTGCGTCCTCAAACTCGTCGAGCACTACGTGCGCGAGGGCAAGGAGACGCAGAGGCGGCAGGCCACCTCCAACCGCACCTATGTCAATGTCTCGCCACCGCCAGAACCAGGCAGCCATGTTTGGGTACGTCTCAATTTTGCTAAAAATTTAGAGGCGAAAAAATTCGGTTTTGAAAGAGGCCAAATTTCAGAAAATGACACTTTTAATTAAAAAAAAAAAAAAAAAAAAAAATGGATTGTGAAGTAAATTTATTGAAGATCTATAAGTTATTCTAAAATTTTGAAACAAAAATAAGAGCAGAAGTAAATTCTTACTTATTCAAATCTTATTAAGAATGAAAAAAATTAATTTAAATTTAAAAAAATCTTTATTTATTACTTTTAATTTTAAATAAAAAGTAACAGTCGAGGAGGTTTATTAATATTATTCAAATTGAATGAAATTGTGATGTGCAATGGATCCCAATTTTGTGTAAGAATTTTTAAATAATTAATCTTATATTTATTTTAATTTTTGTTCAGGTCGACGACCGAGGGCGGACGCACTCGCCGATCCTGCTGACGCGGCCGTTGAGGCGCAGGGTGAGCACCTTGCAACACATGGCGCGCTTAGCCATCAACCAGAGACTGCAACACAGGGACCTGGCGGCCCTCAACCTTCCGTCGGCCATCGAGGACTACCTCAGGGAGTATCCGTACACGCAGTGATCGACAGTTACTACTACACTTAGGGACTAGAGCATCACACTCATTCATGCGCACACCACGATCACCAGCAGACTGTTGTTACAACTTTGTCTCTTCTATCTCGATATATATTTATAAATGTGTTGTCATTGTTGATAAAAAAATGATCAAGAGCTTACGAGGCCGCCCGGCCCTCACCCCGTTTTGGACGATTTCGACTCTAGTGATGCCAAAGTAAAATTTTGAATGTTTATCGTCGATTTTATACCCGGAAAATAAAAAATGTACTTTAGAACATGGAAAAGTAGCAATTGAATGTTTTTGCGGTCAAATTGCATTGTGGAAGAGAAAGATTCCATGAATTATAGGAGGGCCTATAGCTACGACAATAATTGTCAGCAGCCCTTCAAGGCCTTTAGAAACAATTTTGTTACAACACTGTCGTTAGAAGCAAATTATTTTAGAAATATCTATTTGAAGGTTCGTGATTTTTCTACTTCGTGGCAGTTCATGTGCGTTGATTAATCTTATAATTTTGTGTTGATCGTGTATGCGAAGTTTGTTTCGATTGATTTATCCGAAGTTTGATTTTGGTGCCAAGAATTTGTCACAGAATCGGTTGAAATTCAATATTTTGTGTCGTCAGAGAGATAATATGCGTGTTTGCAAGTTATTAATTTATTTTTAGAAATTAAACAAATCTCCACGTGGAGATTGTGAAAAGGCAGGTCCTGTTCTTGTAACATTGTATTTAGAATGACTGTTTTGTTCAAGTGAGGCCGAATGGACCAAATGAGTACGTTGAAGACTCAACTGATATCTCGCTCTTAATTATTGTAAAGTTTCAATTAACTCAGAACAAATACCAAACATTAAATATATGTGTAAATAAATTATTACTTTACCAAGAAGAGTTTCCATTGTTTTAATTTGTTTTAAATTCATAAAAATGAAAAAAAAAATTTAATAGAGTTAACGTTTTTTTAATTGAAAAACACAGAAAATCTTCACCTCCTTTTCTTCTTCTCTGATTTGGAGGCTGAGGGCAAATCAGTGATAGGTGCCGCATGTCCAGTCCTCTTAAAATGGTCAAAAAGTTTGTTTCTCGTCGGAAAAGTTGATTTACAGGTCAAGCAAGTGAGATCAGTGTCCTGTGTAAAGAGGAAGAAATTGGAAATTTATTTTAATAAAAATTGTACTAATTTTACCACTTCCATGCTTTCTTCACAGGCAATCTTTTCACCTCTTTCGGCTTTCTTAGCTAACTTAGCCTTTTTTCCTTTCAACTTTGGTGGTGGCACTTTTTCAGGTTGTTCTTCATCTTCGTCAACAGGAATGTTTGCACTTGCAACCTCACCATTGGCTTCAGCACCATCACTTTCTACAGGCGGTTTGCTTTGTTTTGCCTGCGCATCTTTTTTCCTCCGCTGTTTCTTAGAAATTCCAATTTCTTCCAAATCTTCTGCAACTACGTCTGAACTGTCAAGTCGAACTCTGGCAGTCTGCTTCTTTTTGTTCTTTTTCTTTTTACTACTAGGTGCTGCCGCTAAATAGATAATTTATTTATAAATTTAAAAATGTTTAATTTTTTTCATGGAAAAAACCAACCTGCTTCCTCCTGAACTTCCTCAGCATCGTCCTCTTCTTGCAGTATTTCATATCCTACTTCTACAAGATCTTCGTCATCGTCCGCAGTTGCGTCGCTTTCCTTCACCTCTTCGGACTGGAACTCGACTTCCTCCTCCTGCATGGTCACTTTCAGCAGAGCAACGTTTTCTTTGTGCTTTTTGGAATTCTCATGATTTGCAAACCTTCAAAAGCTCCATCAATAAAAAAACTAAAAATTTAAATTTTCTTACGCCTTGTCAGTTTTAAAACTTTTGTTGCAAGCTACGCAAAACATTCCACTTGGCTCCTCTTCATCTTCCGTTGTTTCTTCGTCTTTGCCAAATTCAGCTGTAAGGTTGTGCTCAATTTCCTATTTGATTAATTTATTTAACTGGAAACTACAATTTAAATTTATGAAGTAATACTTTAAGGACACCTTCCATGTCATCCATGTTAAGGTGTTTCGAAGAGTTGGCTTCCTCGAACAACTTCTTTCTCTCGGCAAGCTGCTTTTTCCGATTGTTCTCTACTTTCAGCGCATTTTCCTTTGCCTTTTCTGCCAGTTTTTGCTTCAAATAGTTCAATGTAATACAAATTAAAAGAAATCGATTTTTAAGTTACTTTGTGCAGCTCAATTCGCTTGTCACGCTTCCTAACAAAGGCAACCAGCGTTCGAATTTGTTCATTTCGGGCTTTCCTGGCTTTCTCCCTGACCTTTTTGTTTTCTTTGTCCATGGCTCGGACGATCCTCCTGTTTTCAGCCTGGCGAGTGTCGTACTCGTCCATCCAGGCGTACGACTTTTTGGTAGAGAAACTCTGCCAAAATGCATAAAAATCGTGGACAACCTAAGTAACACCTTCGTTAATGAACTGTGGCAATTTGAATAAAAATAAAATTACATCTTCGTAGCTGCTCGTCGACGTGCCGAACCCTGGGATTTCAAATTCACTGTCAGACTCTTCCTCCCTATAGAGATCTATCTCCTCAGCAGCAATTTTATTAAACACCTCTCTAAAAGGAAGAGATTTGAAAGTAAATTTAAAGTAATTTTAAGCATTTTTTTTTTTTACCTGTAAACAGCATAAAAACCCTTCTCGTCATCACCAAATCCTTTATAGCAAGAAGACGTGAAAAAAGGGAAGACATCAAACGAGTCATCTTCATAATCGCCTCCGATGCCTGCTCGTTAATTAGGTCAATTGCACAATTTATTAAAATAATATTAGGCAACCCACCTCCCTTCAAAATCGCTTCTCGGTGCTCATCGTACCACGCACGCTCCTGCGGATCGCTGAGGACCTCGAATGCTTGTTGAATAAGTTGAAATTGCGACTTGGCCTCTTCTGGGTTACTCAAATTCTTGTCTGAAAATTAATAAAATAAAAATTGAATTTGCTCAGGGTAAAGAAGGATATAAGCATTTTTTTTTAGATGATTTATTTTCTCACCTGGATGCCACTTCAGGGCGAGTTTTCGGTAACTTTTCTTCAGCTCGTCGTCGGAGGCATCCCTGGACACCTCGAGAACTTCGTAGTGGCACTTCACAGCACTCATTTTCGACTTCAAATTCGGAAAAGTCGGAGATCACAGACACATGCCACTGTTTGTGTACCTCGAACAGCTGAAATCTGCGGCCCGAAATCTTGAGCCAATGAATGGCTTGGATGGCTGCGTCGACCAATCAGAAGAGAGTATTTGGATGTCGATCCGCGCGAAAGATGACCACGTGGCAGTGATTTCAATGTAATCAAGAATATCTTGACATTTCTATTTACTTAATCAATTAATTAATTAATCGCTTTAAACCACACATTATTTTTGATTATTTTATTAAATGAAATTTTCGGAATTTTTAATACAAATATTTTAGTTCAGCGGAATTCTATTATCTTTTGCCCATTTCTTCATTACTCTGACAATTTGCTCTACTTGAGGTCTTGATGATGTCCTCAGGGTCTGGACTGCCTCAGCAAGCGTCTCTCTGTTAATGAAAAACATCATGAAGACGTCACAATATTAATTTTTTTATACTTCGGCTCAATTCCTGCGACCACTAATTGAAATATTCCGATGCAAGCGCCTCTCTTCCCTTCCCAATACTCAGGATTTGGGTCCAATCTTTCCAGGACGTCGAAAGCTTTTGCCGCGATATAAAACTGGCCTGTTCTATAGCAATCGTTGGCGATCAATTGCAAAAGTGAGAACGATTCGGCCGAAGTGTCCATTCGCAGGTACAGCTCCCAAGCGCTGCTCGATTTTCTATTCATTATATCTATCAAAGGGGAAAAATTTAACTTTTAAACACTCTTATATTGAAAAAAAATTACAGCATCTGCAAAGCATTGAAGCGTAAACAGGGTCTTGCCGAATCTTTTCACTCTGAATCATCAGAAACATTTCCTCCGCTTCTTTGTAACTTCCGACAGCCGCTTTTGCCTAGTAAAAAAATTAATTTAATTTTTTTCCTTTTTCGTCGAAAGGGAAATTATTCACCTGGGCGTAATTGAAATTGAAGCTGTCGTCATTGTAAAAGTAACTTTTGACCGAGCTGAGGTAGAGCAAGACGTCGTCGAATTGCTTCAGCAAAAAGAAGCACGATGCCATGCACTGCCTTCCCGGAATTGTGTCGCACTCGCTCGCGCTGCCACCGACGAGTTGGAAAAATTGCTGCGCCACTTTGAGGTGCTCCCGCTTCACAAAGAGAGAGGAAATTCATTTTTCACTGTCGAGAAGCCACTCGAGTGGAATTAATTTAACATTATACCGAGCCAAGTTCCTGCCCCAGCGCTGCGTTCACGACCCCTTTCAAAATGTACTCCTGCGGAACGGCAGGTTCCAAATCTTTGATCAGGGCGTACGCCTCCTGAACCTCGTCCTGTATATTTTGAATGAAATTTAATTTTAAACAGAAATAAATTAATGATTTACTTGTCGCAAATAATAGATGACAAGGTTCAGCCGTGCCTCGGGAATTACGTCCACCAGGGGCGGCAAAACCTGCAGAGCTCCTTCGCCGCCGCGAAAAACCACCAGGTTGTGTTTTATTAAATCGTGTCCGAAAGTATTTCCAGATTGCTCCTTGGAATTTGTTAAATTATAATGATTAAAATTTCATTACTAAAATTTTTATTTTACCAAAAGAGGTTTCAACTCATTTTCCGCCGCTCGTCCGTTGTACAGCCTGAAATGGTTGCACGCTTTCAGGTTCAGGGCGATCGCAGAATCAGGGAACTGTTGCAAGTAAACTGCAAGGACCTCTTGGGAAACGTCATAGTAGTCGAGTTTGTAGTAACACAATGCAACATAAACATTCAGCGCCAAGTAGTCCCTAAATTTTAAATTTCAAATCTAAATTATTTTGTGGTAGAATTTAAATTTAAATGGATTTAAAGCACCTAAATTATTTTTTCCTTTTTATTAATAAAAAACTTTCCAATAAAATTAAATCACCTATTATCGAGTAAAATTTTCTTGTAAATATCAATCGCCTCCTGATAATGAGAGCGCAAATAATGAATCGCTGCCAGTGAAAGCTGATCTTCCAGCACGTCCTCGAGCTGCTGGTGCTGCTGCATTAATTTCTTCTCGTCGCCGAATTTGTGCGCGAGATGAAACATCAGCCTGTTTCTCAATCGGCTCTCCGGCGCATTTTGCAGAAGCTGGATTTAAATTAATTTAAAAAATTTTGAAATAAATTTCAATTTTTACCTTATCTGATTCTGGGTACATTCCGAGGTAAAAGTAGCAACAGGCCAGGTAGGTAGAGGCTTCGACGGGTCTCGAGGGCTTCTTCAAAATGCTCTCGTACACCTGGGCCGCCTTTTTGTAGTCGCCCAAATGGAAGGAGCAAAATCCAATCCACATGTCAATATCAACACTGCCTTTACCACTGTTATTGTTGAACTGGTTAAGAAAAAAATTGTGTTAAAATTACAAAATACAGTAATTTTTTAAACCTCCAATAGACACAAAGCGCCGGTAAAATCTCGAACTTTTAAGAAATCCTCCAAGTTGGGAAGTTGCCTTCGTACCTGTGCACTTTGAGAAGTGGAAGGGCCGCTGGCTGGTTTTGCTCTCGACAAAATCTAAGCAATAAACCGTACTCGCGTTAAAAACACTTTAAAAACTATGAATCGACCAATTACCATTATTTAAATCGGTTAAGTTGCCTAAAATCAGCAAAAACAAAGCTGCTTTTATTCATGAAAAGAGGCACCCACGTTCTCTGCTCAATGGAATGTGGGGCCAGCGTTTTCGCGCCTCTCGTCTCCGCCCTCTTCTCAACCAATCACAGAGCGGCATTTGCGAGCGAATCGTCCAATCAGAGATCAGAATTTTCTGGCCAACTATCATGGCGGATGCGGTTGTCAACAAATTTATTCGGAATCCGGTTTCTTACACGTTTTAATCAAAGATATTTTATTATTTCTGCATTTTACGTGCTGTTTTCACAATGGATCACGTCAATTGCTAACTCAGGTACAAAATTTTCCATAAATTCGGTGTTCATTTTATTTAAATAGCTTGGAATATGTAAACCAAAAGTGTCCTTTGTCAATAACGGGACTTTATTCGGAGGTCGGAGGATCTAATCGAAATGATTTTTGCAGATTTTGCTGTGCTTGAGTATAGTTCTTGAAATACGGCCTCAAAATTTCGTCCAACAAGATGCCTGCTCCCGTGGCGAGACCGAAAAAGGCTGACGACATATGGTCTGCGCTGAAAGCTCACGTTCAGAGAGAACGTCAGAAAAAGAAGGAAGGTGTGTATTTTGTCGTTTTATGCATGAATAGTATAATTATTATGTTAAAATTACTATTTCACAGAGCAAGAAGCAGACGCAGAAGTCGAGAGGCAAAGAAAGGAGAGGGAAAGACAGCAAAAACAAGACGTGATGACACTGGGGGAAACCAACATGCAAATTCAGCAACAGGAAACCAGGTTGGCCCAGCTCAAGGAAGAGAAGCACCAGCTCTTTCTGCAGCTCAAGAAAGTCTTGAACGAGGATGACATTCGAAGGAGACAACTTATGAAAGAAAGGTGCTTAAAATAGAATTAATTTATAAAAACTTCAATATTCCATTATTTCAGTGAGATGATCGGCATGCACGCTTATCCACCTGGAACGGTCATGGGAGGACATCCTCAACTTTTCCTGCAACCCAACATGCTTGCCGGCAGACCCGCAACTCTCTACAAGTTGCCTCCTGCTGGCATGATGCCTCAGGTCAATCAATACGATCTGCTTGCGTCTGGACCTCCAAGAGTAAAAGATAACGTTTTAATCTGAAATTATTGAATTTATTTGTAAAATTTAGGGTGCAATCAAGCGACAGAGGAGTCCGTCTCCCACACCTGGCTACCACCCAGGCTACAGTTACAAGCACGCCGCAGTAACAGGATATTCCCAACCTAGTAAGAAGAAAATTATGTCAAAATTATTTATTAACATTCAATTTTCTTTTAATTTCTAGAGCAGGAAGAAGGCCGAAGAGGGCATGAGTATTCTCGAGCTGTTCTATGGCATAGTAAGTAATTTAAAACTGCATTTCAAGTTGACAACAATCAGCTTGCTTGTCAATTAATAGAACCAAAGTTTTATTTCAATTTGATATTAATTAATTTATTTGTTTTTAATTAATAAAGAAAATAAAAAAAATAAGTAATATCAATAATAAAATAAAAAATAAAGCTTTATTTCAATTTGAAATTAATATTTTTATCTCATATTTAGAATATTTGTACATTTATACAAAATTTTATATAACATTTTTTTTCTGACCTCATTGTGATATTAATTTAATATTTTCATTTAGAAAATACTCCATCACCTTACGGATCCAGCCAGCAGGCATTTTACAGCCACCCTCCGCCGTCGAGCACTGCCGTCAGCTACGCTCCGACCTCTGCTGTGTACTCGTACAGCAGTGCAGGCCATCCGCAGTATGTCCAGGCGCCGCACGGAGTTCCGCCTCAGACCCGTGAGGACATGAAACACGGACCCCCAGCTCTCTATCTGCACTCGCAACCGGGTCCCTCGAGCCAACCTGGGCCTTCGAGAGTGATGGCGCAGCAACCGCAGCCAAGTAATTATTTCTTTCTCCGATGAATTTGAATCTGAACTGTGATTTCTGTTTAGCTTATGTCACGATGCACCCTGGCATGGAGCACAGCGGCCAAAAAACGAGCAGCTATTCGTCGCAGGAGGCTGAAAAGTACTATGCAGGGCACCCACCTGGTGTCAGCATCAGACCGGCCACTCATGTTCCAATACATGGGGGCTCAATCCCTGTCCAACAATTGCCACAGGTATTTTACAATTTAAATTTGTGAAATTGTTAATTTTTGGAAATGAAGAGATCAGGCTTTTCCCCGTTGCAGAAATAATTTGTAATTATATAAGAAATGGCTCTACCAGTTTCAGTCATGGTCTGCGACCCTATTTCATGAGCAAAATATACAAATAATATTAGCAAATTGGAAAAGTGACACATTTTAATAATTATAAACATTCCAATATTAAAATTAACAAATTCATGAGCAAACACGCTGCTTGTGTTTTTGAAATTATTTTTGAATAAAATACCATTTTTGCAGCGAGGAAAAGCCTGATCTCTTCATTTCCACGATCATCTCCTCAAATGTCAATTTCTTCAAACAGAAAAGTCAATTTTTATTTATAATAAGTTAAAATCTAAAGAAAATTTAAAATTAATTTCAAAATTTTCTTAGGGTGCAAAATCTGGAGGAATCACATCCGGTTATCCAATTCGGGGGCAGCCAGTGTCTCACGGAAATCCTGTGACCACTTTTCAACCAATTCCCACTGCATCAACGCCACATGTAAGTCAAGCAATGCTTTTTTATGCTTGCAATCAGTCCTTGATTTAAATCGATGAGGTTCCCAAATTTGTTCAACTGTCTAGAATATTATCATTAAAATAATTAAAACAGCATTGATGAAAATCGGCTGTTTTCTTTTAATTATGAGTAATTTATGCTCCAAATTTTTGATTCGTCAGAGCGTTTACGTAAGCCAAGCGCCCGGAACTCGAATTTCGTACAGCCAAGCTGCTCTGCACCACCCAGGCCATCCTCCGCCGCACGGTGCCATGGGCGGAGGCCTCTCCGTTGGTCACCCCATCCACAACCCGGCCTCTCGTTACACAAATCAAGTTCACTCGCGGGAACAGCCAAGGGAGGTTTAAACATTTTTAACGTGTTAATTACTCGGATAGCTCATGTGTAACCCATAACCCATCTTTTCTTACTTGTGGTGGAGAATAATTGGAACTATTAAAAGAAGAAAAAAGTTTCACAATGACACTTTTTTGTTTCTAAAACCCCTGAAATGATGTATGATTTTAAATTATACTTCTTGAATTCAGAACAAAATTTGCAAAGAGTGTAAAAAGCGATTCACAATCTCAACTTATGATTAGGGAAACTGCACATCGATCATGTTATTACATTGGCAATTTAAATAAACGCACTCTCTTTGAGTCGACGCCGAAAGTGGTGCGCTGAATGGGCGCTCGATTGTTCGCCAGTTCATTCATCTTCTTCCCGTTTCACGATATAATTGCTGACAATGGCCCGCAGATCAAAAGGCAGTCCGCACTCGACACGGAGAGGAACCGCACCCTGTCGAGGCCGAGAGGAAGAAAGAAAGCGGCGGTAATGGCGAGCGGGCCATATTTCAACGATAATTGGCCAATACACAGCATTACGGAATCTATTTTATTAGCCTGCAGGCCGGCTTCATTTCTTATTCGTCCAGAGCTATCATTAGCCCCGCGTCCGCCGATTAACTGTCACTACCGCCATGAATCACGGCCACAATTGCCCCTTATTAGCAATTAATTTTCAATTTTCGACACTCGCACTCTCTCATCTTGCTCTGAGAAAAGTCGTTGTGTCTGTCTGCACTCTCGCGCATTCCGACGCATGCGAAATTTCTACCGTAGTCGACGAAAACCCATGTTTGCTTGTACTAAATAAATTAAGTTCAGCCGAAATTATTGAAAAATTATTCATTTTAAAAATACGAAATTTGACATTTCCAAATAAAAATTAATTTAAACTACATAAAAATAAAATAAACAACACTATTTAATAAATATTTCTGGATCTTTTTAATTAAATGTTGCAGCAAATTACGTAAAATATTTTAAAACTTCAAATTTCAGTTTCGCTTCAGGCCTATTTGTGTGAATCCCGTCACTACGGTAAGAGCCGAAGGCGCGATAAATTTGCTGGAGCGAGAATTAAAGCAGAAAATGCGTGATGGTGTAATAACGCTTATAAATCCTGCAGTCCCAACGTGTGTTTAGCTCCCATAAATTTCGCACCTCTTAAGACGTTGATATGAAATAATAATGGCAGGTGTGCTTCGTGTCGTTCGGCGTGCGAAATTATAAAAAACGCGCTTTTGTTCAGCACCAACGTGATAAATATTTTGAAATATTTATCAACATTTTTAAAATTTCATTTTTATTTAAAAAATTTATCACGTCCTTCGAGGAGAATTTCAGCTCCTTTTTAACTGTAAAATAATAAAAGAGAAGATATTATTTTTGATGCGCGAGGCCAAAGGGCTGAATGATTATGGTTCCGATCACTAAATCACAGGTAATAGACCACGAGAGTGCTCATTAGAATAATTTGTCCATCACACGTCCGTGATCGTTTGATCAACGGTGCGCCGCTTTTGTAATTCATCATTGTAGCACACATTGCGTCGGACATGGGAAACAATAACGCGATGAATCCGATAAATCTCTGGAGAATTATTTTTTCTTAAAATAAAAAAATTTCAATATTTTTACCGTTTTAGTTGCAAATAATTCTCAGGGAATATAAAATAACAAGCAGCGATAAATTTTCATGCCACCGAAATATAAAAATAGAGATTTTTCATCGGCGCCGCTCGGTGGATATGTTAAGAGTTAAAAACGAGTCGTATTAATTTCACACTTCTTGTGTGGCAAGAAAAATTGAATTAAACAACTGCTCGCGCCGGCTTTTTAGGACGTCGGACTCTCAAACCGCGGTCACCAGAAAACAATTTTTCACGCGCGGCCGACGGGCAATTTAAATGGGTGGCGAGCAGAAGTACCGGAAAAAAAATACTCCGTCCCTTCTAATGCCAGGCGCGTGTTGAGTTTTATGATCTGGGGTTTGCTTCTGGGTTAATTGCACTGTCCATCATCGCAGCCTGTGATAATGCTGAAAGCCCCCAAATGTGTTTGAGAATCTCCAATGGAACGATTTTATTAACTTAAACATTTCAACATTTTCCAAACATTTTATCAGAGTTTTAATTTGTATCTTTTTCATTATTTCACAAATAAATAATAAAACTATTCCATTAAAAAGGATTATTTTACTAAATAAGATAAGTTTTATGTTCTAATTTAATTTATAGAGTTCATGTTGCTCTAAAACCATGTTTTTTTTTGCCACAGTTTTTTACTGCAGAATAAATACAAATTAAAATAACACTGACCGATCTGAACTGGAGATACAAGCTGAAATTTGTAGTTTGTACAACAATACTAACGTTGTTACGTTTAATAACACTTTCTGAGGAAGGACATTTAAAATTTGTGTGTAAAACTTTGAGAATTTTGAATTTCCTGTTAATTAAGATAAACCGAAATAAAATTAGAAAAATGTAAAAAAAAAAACTGAACAGCTGCTGTTTTGTAAGTTTATTTAACAACTTATTGTAATTTTTAAAAGCACATTTTTAATATAAAATTATAATTGTTTAAATATTTGAGGAGTTTTCAACAACATTCAAATCATCAAATGAATTTTTATTTTATTTTAGAATGCCAAATTTAATTTTTCTCACAATTTGATAATCTTATCAAGGCCTGCAAAGCGCGAAGCACGTGTTTGACAACTTTTCTTGAGCAAAACGCGCCAATTTCATGGTGACGCCGATGCGAAATGAAAAGAGATAACTTTGAGGAACAGCCGATTTGTAAGGGTAGGCGTCGGGGATTGGGCCGGGCAACAAGTTCCACGGGATGTTTGCGTTGCACCAGCCGTACTTCCCCGAGGCCAGTCTGCTCGCCGCCAGCCACGATTGCTCAGTGCGAGCATCTGCGCCTGTTTCCAATAATGCTAATCATCACAAATTATTCTAGAAATTTTAATGATCACTTATTTTAGAATTGACAAGGCAGATGCCATTTGTGACGTTTTCAAAATAAGCCAATTTCAAACCGTAGCTGCAACAGAATGACGACGCCGTCGTATAAAGTTGCTGAAATTGAATCAGGTTAAATTATTTTAATTTTAAAATGCTATAAAATTTTTACGCGAATGTGTTGATGCACGTATTTGATCCCACAGGCAGTGACAATCTCTCCATTAGGGATGGCTGGATTTTAAAATAATTATAAAGAAATTTTAAATATTAATAAAAAGAATAATATATTTTCCAACGTCTATTGTTGATGTAGTCTTCGCGCAGTTTTGGCTAAATTTTTATTGACACATAAAAATAAATTAATTTATTAAAATAAATTATTCATCTTTTACATCAATCACACATTCAAAATCAGCCGGGCATTTGTGGCTTACACTGGGTAGAGGTACAGGATCCTGTGAAAATTATTTACTATTTAACCGACTTAATTTTATTAAATTTGTAAGCCATACCGATGACGAGTTTACTTCGACCGTGTTGAGAATGTTTTCCACTAGATCAGGCGCTTTTTCCAATCCACATTGTAACACAAGTGAAGCAGTATCGCACTCGTCCATTCCCTCTGTGAATTATTTTCCTCATAAAAACTGTTTATTTTTTACAAGTACTTTTTTACTAATAACTCACTTATTGATCCGCAGGCTGAAATTGCATTCATGTTTTCTTCCCTGACTGTGTCACTGACCGCCAAAGTCTCAGCCATTTCCAAAATCGTTTCATCGATTAAACGACCATACAGCATCTATTGTATTCAATTAATTTAATTAACAAGTATCAAATGTTTATACAAATCCTCCATTTTCTCCAACGCATTTCAAAAAACACTGTTAACGATTCAAATAAATTTTTATTTTAAAAATATGTAAATAAAGATTTCATGTATTTAAAATTTTTAAGATCTGCCTTATGCATGCGTCTTACTTTTAGTTTTAATGAGATCATAGGGAGCTGCGTAGAATTCAATATATACATAATCTCGTCTGGAATACACATGATAAATTAAAAGTACATCAGCAGTGTAAATCAATGTTAATTACAAAAATAAAAAAAAAATCAATTTAATTTAAATAATAAATAATAATGAAGACAAAATATAAATTTAATTTATAAAAAAATGGTTGATGATATTAAATTTTATTTTATCTTATTTGCACAAAGCTGTTCTTAAAAAGTTTTATTTTTAATTATGTTACTAAATAAAATTATTTTGCTTTTATAAGAAAAATACCTTCTGTCACATTAAAAACCGCGCTGCACTCATCGAGAATTGCCCTCGAGTTTAAGGGGGTTTTCCTCGTGTCCCTCGCCTCGCAAATATACTTTTGGCTTTCTTTGCAATCGGCGTCTGCCAGCAACGCGCCTTTGGTTTTCGACATCTCCACGGAGATGCAATGCTCCTTATTTCCCAAATTGTTCGGCTCGCCCTGTTTCCACTTTGCATCTCGCGGGCGTAGTAGTTTGTTTGCCGCGCACCACCCAAAACTATTGTTGCAACCCTGATTGGTTCCCGAAGTCCAAAAGATGCCCTCGTTCTTGATTGAATCTATGACAATTTCAATAATAAGTGAAAATTTTTGAATATAAAAATTTTACTTTTGGCGGCCGTCAATAAGTTGCCATATTCATAGTCGTACTCAATGCTGAGAAGTTTCATTCCGATGGAGCAGCACATTTTTTGCGCATCTAACCACTAAAGCTCCCCCTTTTTTTTTATTAAAGTTTCATTTTAAGAAACTGTTACCGATTTTTTTAACGTGCTGAACAAATATGTTCTTCCATTTACTGTGAACCATAACCCGTGTGCTGAAGGATCTGCAACAATTAAACGAAATGACAATAAATTACAGTAAATTTCAAATAATTTTTATCTTCTTTGCCCAAAATTATTCTCTTTTTTCCCAATATTTTATTTATTAAAAATTTTTGATTTTACTTAAACGGCCCTTTAAAAAAACACATTATAATTGGAAAAATTAAAAAAAAAATATATATTAAATATAAAATTTACTTGTGAGGTACTGGAATTCCGTTACGTTATCAATCAGAGTAGAGAAGTATGACGGCTATATTAAATTTTTTTTCAATTAAACTAATCAGTATCTTGTTAGTTTCATGAACTACATCTTTTGAGCAATTAAAGCCAGTGAAGTTTGGGCACTGCGGCTTGTAGCATGGTGGTGATGGTGTTGTTGGGCCCTAAAATTTTAGATAATTCCAAGAGATAATCAAAATTTCAGTGTCATTTATTTTACTTGACATGCAAAGACGTATCGGTTGGAACAGTTTTTGGCTGCTGTGGAAACGCTACCTACTGATTTGTTGACAAGCATGTAAACGCAATTATTCTCAAAATTGCTGCCGTTTATTAGTTGGCTGGATGTCCAATAACGGAAGTTGTACTTCCAAACGGAAGCTTTTTTTAAAAATTAATTTAATAAATATGTTTAAATTTTGGAAATAAAAAATTTAACCTTTGGCCAATTTAGTCAAACACTCCCTTATTGTGTTGTTCTCGATCATAATTCCATTCATTCCGATACTGCAACACCGATCAATATTCTCTTGCCAATTAACCTAGCAATTAAACAAAAGGTTATAAAATACATTTTTTGTCCGAAAATAATTTGTCCAAAAGTGCTTTTGCGGACTTCATCCGAAAAATTGGGAAATCGGCCGAAAAAAATCGGAAAACTTACGGAATGTTTTTTTTTTCGTTTTTCCAAATTCATAAATTATGATATTAATTTTTTTTTTGCAACAATGCAATGGTAAATGTTGTGGTTTGGTTTGGACCATCAGTGCTCTCATTTTTCTTCTACTTCCGTTCAAAACTCGCCATTGTCACAGCGTAATCAAGAGATCAGACAGAATTTCGATGACGTCATAATTTTTTTAATTGGGAAAAATATGATGGAAAGCCTGCATAATATTTTTTACTGACCACATCATTTCCCCAGAGAAACAGAGATCCGCAAGTTTCAACCCAATGACCATAATATTCGGCATCTGAAACAAGAAACAAATTTTTTAACAGAAAAGGCAGATTAATTATTCACCGATTAATCTTCCATCGTTGAGAAAAAGTGACTCCTTAAATCTCCGTGTTAAATGAATTATAAATTATTTGGAGTAAATTTACATTTTTCCTGCAAACTGGAGGTGGTGCGGCATTATTCGTGGCGATTTTTGAATTTTCTTCTGTTGCCAGAATTATTGGGGTCGGATCACTTATTGCAGGTGTTTCGCTGGAATCAAATGAAGATCCCGAAAGCTGCAATTGAAGGGTTGGCGAAATGTATGATTGATCTGCAGTGGGAACACTTTCTTGCTCGGACAGAAATTCTTGAGAGAATGTTGTTTCCTCAAAATCATTTCCACCGGTGATTTCAACGCTTGATTGAGCTACAAAGTGGAAAAATTACCGACTTGCTTAGTTTAAGACTTTTTGCGTACTGATTGATTCAGCCGCAACGGTTGTAGCGCTTTCAGGTGCTAGGCTTGTGATATTTTCAGTTGGATGCGACTTGGATAATGATGATAGACGTTATTTCATTTTGAGTAATGCTATTTTTAAAAGTCTTCTTTTGTATTTCAAAACAAAAAAGTACGAAATGTTATCAATTGAAAATGAACCAATTATTTAATTTGACGAACTTGAATTAATTAAATCTTCTATATTTATATTTTATATTATTAATATTAATCTTTATGGATGTCTAAACTAATTTATTTATTACCTTTGAGGTTTCTGCCGGACTTGTGATGTTTGATTTATTTGTGAATCCATCTGAACAATGGAAGTGTCCGCAGCATTTGATGATTCTAATTCTTTTTTGCATCCGATGTAATCCTTAAAAATTTTTGATTTTTTTATGGAACTCTTCAAAGTTAAAAAGAAAACAGTTTTGCAATTACCTCTAGATTTTATTTTCAGGATGATGTTTGGCTTCCCAAAAACTTTGATTGCTTTTTGTTGCACTTCTTCCAAACTAAATTTGATCTGTAGAATTAAGATTTCATTGTTTGATTGTTTGTAATTAAAGAACGAGTTTTGCTACCATCAACAGACAATGTATGAGCAACAACCATTTCAGCTTTGATAACATTTCATATAATTCTACTAACTGGAGCTTTGAAATCAGAAGCATAGTATACTATGGCGGAAAATAATTAATTTTAATTGCATTCCAATGCACATGGCCATGCTCGATTCCATTTCTGAGAATTAATTATTTACCCTTCCGCTAATTCTGCGCTATATATCGCAACTAAATGTACAGCTATGAATATTCAGTACCTAGGAGCATTGTAAATGGCTCGCTTTGTCGAAAAGTTGAATATTTTAAAGGGAAGAACAAAAATTATTTATTTCAGAATGTAATTTAGTCAAAATAAATGTAAAAATTCAAGAACGTTTAGATTCAAATCTAGAGAAAAATTGTGCAACCGGGAAAATGACATGTTTGCGAAATTTGAGAAACGCGACTCTTAAAAAATTGCATGGAAACCAAATTCAAATGAAATTTATTTATAATCACTACGGTATTAATAAGAGGAGGCTGTTGGTTGAAAAATACAATCCAATATTTTTCTTTTATTTCTAAGCAAGTGCCCAAACCTCTAATCTTAGCAAGAGAATCTTCAATTTTGAAAGCTGAAAGTTATGCATGGACGGAATAGCTGAATTTAAATGATGGTGTGTAACTCTCTCGTCTCATGTAAATTGGCCAAAGTGGAGTTAATATTCGGAAAAGGAGTGTTGCCCGAAAAGGTGTTGTAATTACGATCCGGCCGGCTAGCCGCGGTGTAGTAATTTGAAAAAAGACAAGAGGCGTTTTACCAGCCGTTTTGCCGCTTGATTTATGATCTTAATTTGAAATTAATATTTTCCTGATAAGCCGCAGCAGATACGAGTGCGAGAGAGAAATATTAATAAAATTAATAAGAATTCCATCAGCGCGACTGGAGGGCATGAAACAAGCCGGTCTCTCTCGCGGCTGGGGCCACTTTTTTAATGAGGCAGTAAATCATAACCTAAAAGCGCGCGCGAGAGAGATAACCACACACCGTACCCCATCTCCTCAAGCACCACCACCAAACACTCTCTGGCGCACGAAAATTGACACTGCCACATTTCATTAAATAGTTTTTCTTTCTCCCGACGAGCTGCTTCTTCGGAAATTGTTATTGAAGTTTAGAGATGCTATTCGCGAGATAAGCCGCCTGTTGATTCCTAAGAGTCACTTACACTTAACATGCCTCTTGGGCGTGCGGGCTAATGAGATGGATGACACGTCTCGACGGCCCAACCGCCGGGGGTTCAACACACGCCGCTCGCTTTTGCATTTCCCCTGCCGTTTTGTATAATGATCGCACCAAAAGTAAATTTATTTTAATTAAAGTTATTTTTGTAGGGCATGATAGAGACGAATTCTCTGATAAGTAACAGATTTTAGAAGATTTAGAATATTATCTTGTCCCAAAGAAGATAGTTAAGGCATATTTAACTTATAAAATAAATACCGATAAACGTGTCATTTTAATTGAAACGCAGTTGTTTTTTTGCAGTATATTATCAGCATAATTACTAAAATTGAAAATAAAAATGCATGTTTCTAAAAACAGTAGAGACATTTAAAACATAATATACAAGAAGAATGAAGTCTACAAGTAATTAAATTAACAGAGTTAAATTAGTAAATTTAAATATAAAATGAACAAGACTTCAACAATAAATATTTCAAATTAATACATATATAATTAATTAATTATATATTATATATTAATATAATTAATGAATAACATATTTTTTTAAACTTATAACTCTTTTTTTTCCGTTTTAATTTTTTTGATTCTTTTGTGTAAGTTAAAATTTTACTTTATTAACTACTTAATAATAATTTACTAATAACTTTATTATATAATATGTATTTATGCCAATAATTTAATAAATAAATTCTTGGCCGGTCATTAATGAATTGTTCTTGAAAATATCTTTTTCATCTGTTGTTATCATGTTGTAGGATTTAGATTACAAATGAATTAAATAAATTTCCTAATTTAATTTTTTTGATATGCTCACTTCATACTTAGCGCATAATAGCATGAAACTTTTTTTAAACTTCACAAATTAAATAATTCAACACATCAAAGTCCATTATTTTTTTTTACTCAAAACGTCAATGAATTTCCTAAAAATTCATGGCACAATTATTGCTTTGAGTCGCACTCGATTCTCGCAATTGCACACATGGAGAAAAGCAACATTTGAATCGCGTCCGAGCCCTTTGTGCTAAAATATAATGAGACGTGGCGGCGGCGGCGAATTTATATATTTCATATCAGATGACAGTCAATATCGAGGAGGAGGAATTAATTTAATTGCGCGCGATTATGTCGGATCGTTTCTCTTATTCATTGTGCAAGGCGACGATTTATCAAATTGCTCGGCCAGTTTGGCACTCGCAATATATTCAATCATGTCCGCCTGAGTGGCCGATTCGATAAATAAGACGCGCGCAATCCTTTTCGCAGCGCCGACCGACACAAGCCGGGGCCAATTTGACCGTGCAAAACGCGCACCTCATCCATCAAATTCGCGCCGATTTAGTGTGCACCGAATTTCAACAGAACTTTTTTCGTTCGCAAATTGAAATTAATGTTAGCTCTCGTCGTGGTCACCGCCGGTCCAGTGGACACACAAGTCACAAGGGTAAAGAGAGAAAACCAGTTGTTATAAATAATAGAATGTGTGGAGTGCAGAGGGGCCAACATCTCACCAAAAGAGTCGGAATTAAATTAGAACCAATAACTTTAATAGCTTTGTATTTTTATCAAAACTGCGCTGTAAGTAAATGGGGATTTTTTTAAGGAAGGAAAAATTGGGAAAAATTTGAACAATAAAAACAGGATATCTTTTTTTAACTCACAAAAATTTCTGTGGGGGAAAAGAAATTTAAATTTTGTTTAGTTAAATTTGAAGAACATGATTAAGAAATAATTGTAAAATTTTCAATTTGAATCGAAATATTCTTATATTTGTCACATGATTTAAGCACAACTGCATCGCAACTATTGTCATTGTTAGGCATTTAGTCCCGCATCCGTGTCATGCAGGTTGCATTCGACGAAATGGAAGGATCGATCAGGAAATTACAATCTTTGAAAACTTTTCGCAATGCTCGATCGCAGTAAATTTGAGTAAAATAATTTTTGGTGCGCGCAATTTGCAATTACCGCAAAGAGGCGAGAAATATTGCTTTCTCTGGCGGGCAAAGTGGGCTGCGCCGAAAATCGGTGCTCGTTTGATTACAGTCGGGCTGCTTTGGCGCGCTCGTTATACAGCGCATTATTCTCGTAAGCAGAGGCCAATTTATTAGAGTGGCATCGTAACAGGTGATTACGCAATTACGTGGCGCGGTGTGACTGTACACACGTGAAATGAAAGAGGTGCGCGCGTAATGATGAGTGGTCAGCGCGCGGCTCGACTTGTAATTTGGCGGCCAGACATCGAGAGGCTTGTTTTTCGTGTGTAATTTGGAAGAGAGCCCGGCGTTGTTTTATTCAAACCCGGCTGCCTTTTTGATCAGCGCTCTCTCTAGAAATTAATTCGGATGTGGCAGCGCACGATGCGCTTACACAAATCTAATGTTACTTTATCCTGACAAGCACCTCGGGGCCATCTAATGTGTACTATTGAGGCGACGTGACTGGGAGGCGTTGAAAACAAGGCCCTAATTTGATACACCGCGCGCGGGTTGAGAGATGCATGCACCTCTTTCTCTGCAAGCAAGAACTACTCATCACCTCACGGGCCTGCGTATATGAAAAAGCAGACGGTCGTGGAAATTTGGTTGAAATACATTTTTATTTTAATTAAATATTAAAATATGCAAAACTTTTAAAATGAATTATGTAAAATTCATACATAAATTAACTAGATTTTATTTTACCTTGTGAAATAATAATTAAAATGACAATTTGTTCTTTATTTTCATTTACAAAAGTTTTTTTCGCCTGTTCGTAGGCTTAGGGAATTTAGGGACTCAAAAGAGTTCATTTATGTAGCAACATGTCCCTGAATTTCATTGGAAATAAAACACTTGAAATTAGCAATTCAATACTTTCATTCTGTCGCAACAGCAAATTGACAAAAACTGAGTTGCAATTAAAATATTTTGTTTTTAGAAAGGTAAAAAGACAGATTTATAATATTAAAATATAAGTTAAAGTTCTAAACAAAGAAATTTATTGTTATTGGATAATCATAAACATGTAGTAAATAATGAAACAAAATTTTTTTGTACATTCAATGCGAGTTATTCAGATGATTGAGCTCCTGCAAGATCTTGTACTGAATAATAATAGTTATCTCTTATCTCCTTCCATTAATCATTGCAAATTGTAAAATTTTGTAGCTTTTCATCTTTAGAATAAAAACGGGTCAAATTTCCACTACAATTTTTAACATTGAGTAAATTTTCATACCTCTTGAATGTGTAGACTTTTCTTATATAAAACTCTCATCTCTCCGGACGCATTAATTCACTCGCCTCTGCTGATGCGCTGCACTCTAATTTAAAATTTATTATATACCCTTAGTGCTGGTTTCCTCTCGAATCCAATACCGATTATTTGCCTCTCAATCGCCTCTAACATGTGGTCGATACACGGAATTAATAACTTTTTCATTAGGCTCGTTTGTGATCCAAAATTATATCAAACAGTAACAGATGCTGAATGACGCCGAGAAAACAAAGACCACTTAATTTAAAGCTATTTTTTTCTGCTCAATTCGGCGTGCGCGATGCTCACATTATTTTTCGAGGCGTAATTGCTAATTGGAATCGCCGTGCGGAGAGAAAGAGTCGTCTGAATATTAAAAGCATAAAGGAGAACCATTAAAGGAGGGGCGCGATCGAGACAAGAGAGGAAATTTAAACGGGCCTAATTACCTCGAGTGTGTAATAATGGCGCAATTACCCGGCCGACGGCGTATTATATTATTTTGTTCAACAAGTTGGCGGAGCAGATTATACGCGGCGTCGACTGTGTATAAAAATGAACACGGTGCCGATTGTGTATTACGATGGGAGTAGCTAAATAAACATTTTATGCGCGGGCATTAAAAATTCGTCTCGGCGACGCCGATGCAAAAAAGCAGCAAACAAAAGGAAACGATATTATTTATCTTAGTTGAGCAAAAAGTTGCGGAAGTAAAAATTCACTTTTATTTTGTAACGAAATCAATTAATTAAAATTCTTTGCAAATATAAAAAACAATTCATTTGTTATAATCAAATTTAACAATTAATTTTTTAATTAAATTCTATATTAATTTAAATAACGGGCTAAATTTAATTAGCCTGGGCCTTTGAATCACCCTTATTGTTATTAAAAAGCACTGAAATTAATAAATCATTACCACATTTGATATCTCCTTATTTAAAATTGTTGGTAGAATACTTAATTATATTCTTTTATTCAAATTGTGAGAATTTTTTTTCCTTTTTACACCACGGCGTGGTCCAGTGGTCACAAAGCGAGCAAATTTACGATGCCTTCCATCACCAAATAATTATTTGTCGACACTAATCCCCCGCCGTTTGTAAACGAGCCTCTTTCTTCTTCTCTTTTGAGAGGAACCCGTGCAGACAAATCAAAATATTTACATTCGTATAGATGAAGCAGCAAACAACAAAATAAAAAAAAGGTTGCGTGTTTTATGAGGCTATATCTATCCCGCCAGGTGTAAATAAATATCTCCCGCGCGCATACCTTCAGGTAGCTATAATTTAGAGTTTTATTATTAAAAATTATGGAGCACCAGCTCGGAGAGGCGACTAAATAATAATTTGCGCAATTTCAGTGACCCCTGCTGCGTGCAGCGGGCGGCCGATTTATCCCGACACACACTCCACAAATTTCTATAGTCAGGATACTTTTTACGCCAATAATTTTCAACCTGATTCAACAGAAAAATGATGTGGAAAACTTGCTCTTGAGAAACAAAACACGCAACATTTTCTAATTCGGTACAATTTTAAAATTGAACTCTTTAAAGTTATATTTTGGCAAATGATTTGCAACTTTTTTTCTTACTCTCGCAATGACTGATAAGTGACAAGACCGACAAGAGACTTCTTTTTTTTTTTTAGATAAAATTAATAAGCAAATTCTTAATGAACCACTATGAAAAGCTCAACTTCTAAGAAAAGAAGCTGGAACACTTGAATTGTTTTTAAAAAATTTAGAGGTTTAAAATATAATTGACTTTCAGGTATACTGATGGTGCTCATTCAATAAAGAATCAGATTAGATAATAATTTAGATAAATGAATCATAAATTATTGTAGCTCAATAAGTTAAGAAAAATAGAAATTGCAGTTGGAGCTAAAAAATACAATTAATTAGCAGGATAGAAAGCACACCTTGTATTCATTTCAAACAACAAATATTACATTTCCAAGAGAAGTATTTAGATAATTAATTAATCATCGCTGTCATCTTCGTACTCATGTACATAACACCATATCCTGGCATCAGTGTACTCAAAGTGTCCAATGGCATTGAGTCTTTGCATTGGTGATTCCTGAATCTTCCTCAAGAAGGAAGGATGAGCACCAAAGCACTCCATCTTTTCAAGTCGCGGAGCATGGACTGGCAGCAGCAGAAGAAATTGGAGCAACTCGGCGGGCTGCTCAAGGTGGGAGCCAAACTTGAACTTCTCGAGTTGCTGAAGAATTTCTCCCTCGATCAAAGGTCGGTGCAATTGAGTGCAAACCTCGGGGGTCATGGTGAAGCTTTTCTTCATTGTAAAGCGCTCAAGAAGTGGAGCTGTCAGGACGAGGGCCATCAATCGAGAGGCGTAGGCGTTGCTGAGCCTCCAACTCAAAGAAAACTTCTTCAGGTTTTGGAAGTACCTGGCGTCAAGGTGGCTGTTGAAAGGCTTTGTCTCTTCGTTGTGAATTCGAAAATAGTAATACAACTTGTGCAGGCGCGGGCAGAGCAGGAAAATGTCACACACGTCGATAGGGTCTTCCTCCATAAAAACTTCCATCGTGACTATGAGTTCCTCCAACTGCTTGCCACAGAGAGACAAAATTTGGAAGATGAGGCTTCCACTGTCATCTTCCATTTCCAGAACTCTCAAGTTGGACAGCAAGGCACAGGTTTCTAGGTCCCCTGATAGTTGTCCTTCGAACCTGACATGTGTCAAGTTAGGTAAGTAACCAAAGTTTAAGAATCGCTCGGTCGTTATGCGCTCAAGTGGAAGGGGCTGTCCTGGATGGTGGGTAAAGATATCATCATTGTTGAGAGCGTACATCAAGAAATCAGGATAAATTGAGAAGAAACGCAATCGAGGGAATTTCTTGACACACGCCAGTCCGAAATCCTCGCAGTAGTCCTTTTGCATTGCGCGGTCCTCCTTTTAGAAAAAAAAAATAATTCAAAGATTAATAAATTTGATTAAATTTCAACTAACCCCACTCAATTTCCAGTTCACTTCTCCATACATATCCCAGTGAACTAACACTACTTCCAGCCTCTGCAGATCGAATAAATTGGCAAGCAAGAACGGAGTGACGACGACAAAGGTAACACCGAGGGTGATCAGATCTGGAAAGTTCCGAGCAATCCATGCCATGTCTTCTTCGTCACACTCGTACTGCTCGAGCATCACGTGTTTGAGTTTTGACAGCTGGAGCAGGGAGTTCTTGACATCTCGTAGCTTGAATTCACCAACCCCTTTCACCACTTGGCCAGGCGGCTGCCATGAAACTGGTGCAGCATGCTTTCGGGAGTCGGAAATTTGCTCCAAGTTTGGACACTTCCTAGCGAGCAGATCCCACATTTCCAGGTCACGCTGCTTGTCCGACTTGTGGTAGGTGGAGAAGACGACAAAGTCAAACTTCTTGGTCGAAGCGTCCATCAGGCTGTTCAGCATTCCAAAAATCAAGTCTTTGACCACAGGCATGGTGAGCTTTTTCTCCCTTTCAATGCCTTTGGCTTGCATTCGCTCCAGGATTTCCAGTTTCAAACACCAAGCTGAAGACAAATTTTCAAGTTAAAATTAACTCTAAAATACAATTACTTATTATTTGATAATAAAAGAAGACTGTGAAAGCTGCACTCACGCAAGTGTGGCAGCAGAGTTGACGATTCGATTCCAATGTCGTAGCTGACGATTTTCCGCATGGCCAATTCTTTCAGAGGCAAAAAGTTTTGAACTCTTGACCTCTTCCTATTGGCAATCGCCAGTGCATCAAAAAGCGTCAGAGACGTTACCAAATCGCTGCAAAATTAGTAATCGTGAGGGATTAGTCGCAAATCTAAACGACAATGTTAAGGACAAATGACTGATTTTCTATTCAACAAATTTGAAACTCACCTGGGTTCCATAGCGAATTTGAACCGCAACGGATTCGCAACGAATTTACGAATTCAAATGTATGTATCAAGATCAAGAAGACGCAACAATCGGGTTATTTTCTGGTCTCTTCATAAGTTTTCACTCCATTGACTCCATATTGTTTGTTGACATCTAATCAGCAAATCAAAATCAGCGGCTTCCCTCTCCCTCACTTATTCCACACAATTCGCAACCCCTCTGCCCCCTCAACTGCTGCAACTCGATACTCGGTGCTTCTCTGCGCTGGGAGATTTTTTCTCCTTGAAAACATTTTATTAAACAAACAGGTTTAATAAATAAATTGTATGCTTTCATGATACTTCTTTTTTAATTAAATTTGCGTTTCATGACCAGGATTGCCAATAAATCTAAAGCTGAGTTGCAATTGTCTAATTAATTATTAAAAATTAAGGCATAATAATATTCAAGATGAAGATTTTAAAGTGTTTGTGATATCGTTCTTTTTTTTCAATAGTGTGGGTTTACCGCGGCGGCCGTGTCTATTTTGATGTCAAGCGTTTTAGCAGACATATTCTGCTAGTTGTAAACCCTTTCTTCTCTTTTTTTCCCAATTTAAAATTTTCGTATCGACTGAGAAGAATAAATAAATAATAATAAAAATACCCAAATATTAATTTTGGCCAACGCACAGATCCCTGAAGGTTTTCATTTTCAACATCATTTATTATTTAATTTCCCTTACTTAAATTAATAAATAATTGTTATTATCATTTTTTTTGAATTTACCACGAATGGAAATTCTCCTTGCGCTGCCAGTTGTCCATTAATGGCTTGCACTGAAAATGTTTTTCACAATTTTAAGTGTAAAATCATTTTGATCAGTTTACCGCTTGACACGCAGACAAGGACGAAAGCGCAAGAAAATAATATGGGCTTCATATCTGCTCTGCCTCTAGTGATATAATTTTATAATTATGCGCTAGCTGACTTTAATATGAGATTATCACAGACTGATAAGACATAATCATAACTCCAAAAAAACTTTAAAATAATATCATTGCTAAGATATTAATTAAGACATCATAAAGAAGGTGGCGTTCAATGAAAGAATAAGATTGAAAAATAATTTAGATACATGAATCATAAATTAAATTGTAGCTCAATAAGATATGGGAAATAGAAATTGCAGTTGATGCTCAAAAATATATTTAATTAGCAGGATAGAAAGTAAAACTTGCATTCATTTCAATCAAACATCACATTTCCAACAGAATTATATTATAACATCTCAAGATCATCGCTGTCATCTTCATAATCACGTAGGTAATGCCGGATCCTGGTATCAGTGTATTCAAAGTGATCAATGGCGTTGAGTGCCTGCATTGGCGATTCCTGGATCTGTTTCAAGAAAGAACGATGAGCACCAAAGCACTCCATCTTTTCAAGTCGCGGAGCATGGACTGGCAGCAGCAGGAGGAATGTGAGCAACTCGGCAGGCTGCTCACGGTGGGAGCCAAACTTAAACTTCTTGAGTTGCTGAAGAATTTCTCCCTCGATCAAAGGTCGGTGCAATTGAGTGCAAACCTCAGGCGTCATGGTGAAGCTTTTTGACATTGTGAAGCGCTCAAGAAGTGGAGCTGTCAGGACGAGGGCCATCAATCGAGATGCGTAGGCATAGCCGAGTCTCCAGTGCAAATAAAACTCCTTCAGGTTTTGGAAGTGACTTGCGTCCAGTTGGTTGTTGAAAGGCTTTAGCTCAGTGATGTGAGTTCCAAAAATATAGTCCAGCTTGTGCAGGCGCGGGCAGAGTAGGAAAATGTCACACACGTCGATAGGGTCTTCCACTCTATAAACCTCTATTATGAGTTTGAGCTCCTCCAACTGCTTTCCACAGAGAGACAAAATTTGGTAGATGAGGCTTCCACTGTCATCTTCTATTTCCAGAACTCTCAAGTTGGTTAACAAAGTACAGGGTGCTGGGTTCCCAGTTAGTCGTCCAACAAACTTGACATGTGTCAAGTTAGGTAAGTGACCAAAGTTTAAGAATCGACCAGTCGTAATGCGCTCAAGTGGAAGGGGCTGTCCTGGATCTTGGGTAAAGAGATCATCATCATTGAGAGGGTACACACTCATGAAGAGGTCAGGATGAATTGAGAAGACACGCAATCGAGGGAATTTCTTGACACTTTCCAGTCCAAAATGCTCACAGTAGTACCTTTGCATAGCACGATCTGCCTTTTAGAAAAATATTAATTGCAAGATTAAAAATTTGATTAAGTTCCAACTAACCTCGCTCAATTTCCTGTTCACTTCTCCAAACATATCCCAGGAAACTAACACTACTTCCAGCCTCTGCAGATTGCATAAGTTGGCAAGCAAGAAGGGAGTGACGATGACGAAGGAAACGCCGAGAGTGATCAAATTCGGGAAGTGCTCAGCAATCCATGCCATGTCAACCTCATCACACTCGTACTGCTCTAGGAGCATGTGCTGGAGTTTGGGCAATTGGAGAAGGAAGTTCTTGACATCTTGAAGCTTGAATTTGCCCACCCCTTTCACCACTCGGTCAGGCTGCCATTGGTTTGGCCAAGAATGCTTTCGGGAGTCTGAAATTTGCTCCAAGTTTGGACACTTCCTAGCGAGCAGATCCCACGTGTCCAGGTCGCGCTGCTTGTCCAACTTGTGGTAGGTGGAGAAAACGACAAAGTCAAACTTCTTGGTCGAAGCGTCCAATAGGCTGGTTAGCATTCTGAAAATCAAGTCTTTGACCACAGGCATGGTGAGCTTCTTCTCCCTTTCAATGGCCTTCGCTTGCATCCGCTCCAGGATTTCCATTTTCAAACATGGAGCTGAAGACAAAAATTAAGCTAGAATTGTAACGGAAACAACTGTGAAAAGCACTTACACAAGTGTGGCAGCAGAGTTGATGATTCGATTCCAACGTCGTAGCTGACGATTTTCCCCATGGCTAAATCTCTCAGAGGCAAAAGGTTTTCAACTCTGGACCTCTTTCTTTTGGCAATCGCCAATAATACATTGCGAAATGTCTTGATCGTTGCATTATCGCTGAAAATTTGGGGATACACATATCAATTTCCAGTCATCGCAAATTTTAAAATTAAAAAAGGTTGATTATATATTTTAAAAAGAATATTTCTCGAGACAAATTCAGTCATATCAAACCAGAAAATTTGAAACTCACCTAGGTTCCTCCATTGCGAAAAGGAGCCGCAATGGATTCGCAACGAATTTCCGATTTCAAAATTGAGAAGAAGAAGCAACAATCGCGTTATTTCTGGGCTTCGTATCCTTATTTTTGTTTCCCTCCGTTGGTTTGTTGACATTTTTCTAAACAGCAGGCTTCCCTCTCCCTTCTTTAAAATTTGCCACCCCTCTTCCCCTTCTTCCCCTCAATCGCTTTAACTTGTTGCTCCTCTGCTCTTTGTAATTTTATTGATCTTTTTGTATTCTTAATTTGATTTATTTATTCCTGTACTTATTTATTTATTTGATTTTCCACTTTGCAATATTAATTTAATGATTTATTTTACGATTAAAGACTAAAAATCTGAAGGTTGGAAAAAAAGCAATTATTATTACATGAACGCAGTTGAACCAAAAAAATTGCGTATTTATTAAAATTAATAATGAATTAATTGTAATATTATGTATTTAATAGTTAATAATTATATTTGTAATTCAATACGAAAAATTTTATTTCTATCAATATACAATAAAAAAAATTATTCATTCGTAATAAAAAACTCAATAATTGTTTTTTTTTCTTGTTTTATTAGGGACAGGCCAAGACAAAGTCTTGTATGCCTGCCTGTGCCCTTTAATAGTGGTGCAGAAGGAACCCAGTTAAATTCATTCATTTTTATTTTTGGGTTCAACGTTTTATTCAAAATCATAAAATATAATGTAAGATGAAAACTAAACCAATTAATCATTGGAATTCCTAACCGCGTCATAATTTTTATTTCTCACCATAGGCGTGACACGAAACTGCTTTTTTGCAATTACCTTTAAAAGATGGGAGGCAAAATTTATTTCATAATGTGGAGCGACTTTCGGAGAGTCGAGAGAGCGCGAGGAGGAGCAGAAACGCCGCGTCAAATTATACGTGTGTGCGTGCGTGTGTTGATTGCAGATCTTTTGTTACATCAAGTTCATCTCCTTTTTAAGATAATCACTCGGCGCACACCGAAGGAGCCCTAATGAAATTAATAGCGCCTTCTCAAAATCTCTCCTCAACAGCTAAACGTGCTAATGCTCGAAACACCTGTTCTTTCGCACTAAACAGATGATGAAAGAATTTACACTCTACAAGGTAAAAATTAACTAAAATATTGGACTATTTTTTCATATTAGAAACAGAAGATCCCAATTTATTTTAATGTCCAGGCCTTTGACTCCGAACATGTTGTGGATATAAGATAGCTATCTCGTGTTCACAGAAAATTGGATGAAGATTGATTATTTTAATCGAAACTCACGCGCGTGCTTTCGGAACAAACTATTGACCTCGTGCCGCCAGAGGTCTGATCAAATTCCAATCTATACGTTTTATTAAAAGTCCAAAAAAGATTGTAATTTAAGTGCTTTTTTTATAAACGCTGCGGTCGGGGCCGGTTTCGATGATTTTTCATGGCAACACCTCGGCCGCGCGTCTCGGCTAATTATTGGGTGACAAAGTTGGAGAACGGATAAAGGGTAATCGAGTGGTGGCGGGCATCCATCACCGCGGGTCAGGACAGCTGCGGCCTCGTGGCCCCCGCCGAGAGCAGTGGCCGGCCGCGCGTTTTAGAATTCCCGTCAACAGCAGGGGCCCCTATGCAGACACGCACTTTCATAACTCAAAAATCTTCCGATATTTTCATGTCCAATTCATTAACTTCTAATATGTACACGTCGAGACAGTTTCGTTTCCCTTTTGTTAATTTACAATATTTTTAATGTTTGTTAATTATTAAAATCAGCCTTTTGCTTTGTAAAAAAAATTAATCCTGCTTTTTTGAATTTATTATTGATATTTACGTTAATTGCAAAGGTAACTAAAATATAGGAAATGAAGAAAATCGTGCTTGTCCTCGATGCAAAAAATTGTTTCTATTCAAAAACTAAATTTTAAAAACATTCAATTTTTTTTTGCAACGAGGATTTTCTTCATTTCCATGATCATCTCCTCGACTGTCAACTTCTTCTTCTGTTTGATTTGTTTGGAGACAATAAGGTTTTTTGTTATCAAAAATTCTTTCTATTTTGGTTCTTTAGTTTTCTAAAACTGGTCCATACAAATTTTGCAAATTCAAATTGCTTAAATATATACCAAATCCTCTAATTTTAAATCAAAATTGATTTTAATATCTAACAATAAAAATAAGATATTAAAATTTAATAGACTTTTTTTAAATAGGTTTTTTCTAAAAATTAAAAAAAAATTATGTGTAGATTTTGTTTGAAGAATTAAGTTAACGCTCGAGGATATGATCATGGAAATGAAGAAATCGGGCTTTTTCTCGTTGCAAAAAATTGTTTTTATTCAAAAGAGCCGTTTGTTTTTTAATAAAAACAATTTTTTGCAACGAGGAAAAGCCCGATTTCTTCATTTCCATTGTATAGATTCTTTATGTTAATTAAATCAGCAATACAATTGAGATGACTGATGTGCATAATCATGCATAATGTGATTTGATAATTGTGAAAATTTAAAAAAAAAATCATTGCATTAATAATTGAGATAAGCACATCAATGTGCAAAACCAATAAAATAAAAACCTTTGTATCAAAGTGAAAGGATCTGATTTGCCTAATTTTCATGTGTAAATGTAAACATTTTACGATTCGGAATCGTTTTTAGTAAATCCTTATACAATAAGCCTTTGTGTGTTATAAAAGTTCAACAGGCTTTGCGTTGACGAAGCGTGAGCGCGCGGCGAGAGTAATTGTTGGAAATGAAATGTTGGTCGATCATAATCCGCTGACAGAATTATAAATTCGACGCGATTAGTCACACAAGATAGAGGCTGCGGAGGAAAATAAAAAAGTGGCAGCGTCAGGTAAAAAAAGGAGAACTCGCAGGTCCATGTTCGGCCCGAGGGCAAAAGGTAACCTGATCCTGGCCCAAGCATGTCTGCTTCACGGCGCAGCATCCTTCTCTCCTCCTCCGCTCCGGACGTTTCAATATAAAATTAGAATACTGTTGTAAATATAAAGAATCGTAGATTAGTTCTTAGTTCTAATAATCAGTTTTGAATAAATCACCATGGATTTAGATTCTTATTTTATATTTATTTAAAGAAATTATTTAAATAAGACAGAATTAAATTGGTAATAACAAAAAGCAAATAAATAATCCAAAAATCCAAAATTTTTAGCACACTAAATTAATAATTTTAAATATAATTTAATAATAATATTAAAAAAAGAATTATGACAAAAATATAAAAAACAAAATAAAACAAATAATTAATATATAACTATTGTAAAATAAAATATTTATTTATTTTATTTATTTCTTCATTTATTTATTTATTTTATTTATTTATATTATTTATTTATTTATTCTCTATTCAGATACAATGATATAACATTATTTGTAATAATTTCTTTTAATTTTTTAATTAAATTTAATTTTATGTTATTTTCTCTCTGAAATCCTCCTGTAGTTTCTGAGCTAGATTTTTTTAGAGAAATTATTGCTGAGATAAAATCTCGAGGGACTGCGACTGAGATCTCGACGGGCGAAAGGGTTAAGCTCGGCGCTCCCCTCCCGCGCACTAACTACCTGACCTGACAGACACTTGTTTGTTTCCGAAAGAGGATCCACGGCGGCGTTTGTCTCGCATTTTACGCCCTGCCTTTTTTTTACGCAATAACAACAACACCTCCTGTGATTTTCCGATCCGCAATAATATTGTACTCCAGTATTTCAGAAATGTGTGTTCGATTGTCACTTGATAGCATCGGCGGTCGTAACTTTTGCTGCGTGCCGAGCGCAGGCATTGCCTTGTTTTATAACGACAAGAAGTCTCGGCGCGTGAAATTCACGATCTCCAATTGTTGCTTCGGGCCTGCATTGTTTTAAATTAATTATTCAAGAGTTATCCGGTGAAGGTGCTGAGGCGCAATTTTATTGTGGTATTAATTTCCGTTTTTATTGCGCAGGGTTTTATCGGTGTGAGAAGTTCGTTGTATTATTTATTATGAAAAGTTATTCGTATAAAGTAAAGAAACAATTTTGACAGGATGAATTAGAAATAGGACGTATTTATTTGAATTATTTTAAGATTTCATTAATCTTTGGTAGAAAATTATTTAATTTTAAAGATTTCTAAATGGCAGATTTTAAAAAGAAAAATTTGGAGAGCATCAAGATTTAAATAAATTTTGAAAGATTTTTTTTAATATGCTCAATCATTTGTCATAATCTTGTTATCATAATTTAATTTTTCAAATGATTTTACAGTTATTGCAAAATTACGAAAGTGTCCAAAATGGAAAAAAATCAGTAAAAATTTTAAATTTGTGCCTGATTTGTGCTTTTCATTAATACTTCATTTTGCACTTGCCAAAAATGTCTCTACAAAATGATTGAATTTATGTAAATTTGCTTTTTAAGGCTTTTAAGAAAATCTAGTAATTTTCTAAGCTACACAAAATTTCAAAGAATATTTTAGGCTTATTTTATGTAAATAATAAATAAATAATCCGCGCAGGTGCTCAGGGTAGAGGTGCCTCTCGAAATAAGCAGGCCCTTTTGTTTTGTCGTATCAGGCTTCTCGAATGTCAGCGTGGAAGAGTAATTGCGTATCTCCTTTTATTTTGTGTTCCCTCGTGTTGTTCTACACCTTATCTGCCTCTCTATAGAGGTGTGTGTTTTTTATATATATTTTTCTCTTTGGTGGCATTTGAAAAAAAAAACACACACCTCCTCTCTCCCACTGTGCCAGATTTGTGGCCGCACCGCTCTGGCGGGTGTTGCCTCGTAAAATTTTATGGCAAATACAAGTAAACCTAATAACGTGACGCAGCAACATTATTTGCAGTTATTTACGACCGCCTCATCTCTCGTCTTATTTAGGCACCTACAGAGCATTATTTTTGAAACAAGTGTGTGCGCGACAAGTAGGATAATTTCTCTCCCAATCCTCCCTCGTGAATATTTGCATCTTTGACTCGACTCCAAAGTCAAATGAGCAATTCACAGTACATAAAATCTTTTTCTTTGAAAAATAATGAACATTAATAAAATAAATTATTACTAATTATTAAAAACAAAATAGCAGAACTCATTTAAAAGGGATTAGTTTAAGTGAAGTACAAAAATTATTGGCAAAT